CCCGTGTATACAAAGTCATATAGGTACCCACATGTTCATAAAGAAGAAGTCCAAAACCAAATTTCTTCCATGCTAGAACAACAAATCATACGACCCAGTAATTCGCCCTGGTCTTCGCCAATATGGGTTGTCCCTAAAAAACCGGACGCCTCTGGAAAAATCAAATGGAGAATAGTAGTGGACTATAGAAAAGTTAATGAGAAAACCATTGACGATAGGTATCCACTACCGAATATCTCTGACATTCTCGATAAGCTTGGACGGTGTCAGTACTTTACGACACTCGACCTTGCCAGTGGATTCCATCAAATCGAGATGGCGAAGGAAGACATTCAGAAAACTGCATTTAACGTAGAACATGGCCATTATGAGTATGTGCGAATGCCTTTCGGGCTCAAGAACGCCCCCGCAACATTTAGCAGGGTAATGGACAACGTTTTAAAAGGACTTCAAGGTCATATATGTCTCGTCTACATGGATGACATAATTATCTACTCAACATCCCTACAAGAACATATGGTTAACCTCACCAAAGTATTCCAAAGGCTGCGAGAAACAAACTTAAAGATTCAACTTGACAAGTCTGAATTCCTACAGAAGGAAGTTGCGTTTCTCGGACATGTCATCACACCCGAAGGAATAAAACCAAACCCTGATAAAATAAGAGCAATCCTAAGATACCCCATACCTAAGACACCAAAGGAAATTAAAGGATTTTTGGGACTTCTCGGTTACTACCGAAAATTCATTAAAGACCTTGCAAAAATTACAAAGCCACTGACAGCATGTCTGAAAAAGGATGCAAAAATAGAACATACGCCGCAATTCATTCAGTGCTTCGAAACTTGTAAAAACCTCTTGACAAATGAACCATTGCTACAGTACCCTGACCTATCTAAGCCATTTAACCTTACGACAGACGCAAGTAATTACGCTATTGGAGCTATATTGTCTCAAGGACCGGTAGGCAAAGACAAACCAGTAGCCTATGCTTCAAGAACGCTAAGCAATACTGAACAAAATTATTCTACGATAGAGAAGGAGATGTTAGCAATCGTATGGGCAACGAAATACTTTAGACCATACCTATTTGGCAGAAAATTTAAAATTTTATCAGATCACCGCCCACTTCAATGGCTATTCTCGCTAAAAGATGCCAATTCAAAATTAGTAAGATGGAGGCTCAAATTGGAAGAGTTTGACTACGAGGTAATCTACAAGAAAGGAAAAGCTAACACAAATGCTGATGCACTATCGCGAATCGAAATCCAAACCAAAGAATTGCGAGAATTAGAGGAATACGTGAACAAAATCAACGAAACACTTTCAGCCTCGAACAATGCGGACAATGCATCCATGTACAATAATGCATCAGACAGACAGACCGACATTGATAACGAACAACTAGATGATCACCCCGACCTTCCTCAACAATCAGCTGTTGAAAACCATAATGCGACATCCCACGAGGAAACTGACCTACCCGATCGCAGGAAAAGCAACGATACTTCGTCAACAGAAACAGCTGACGAGCGACCCGACTTACGACAAGGTAATAACGAAACATCTGAAACTGAGACGGCCGACGAAATTCCAGACGAGTCAAGAAGCGATATAACTGTTCATTCGAATCACGAAAATCCAGCTCTAAATATTCCAATATCTGAAAAACCACTGAATTACTACAATAACCAGGTTAAGCTAAATTTCGTCAATTTCAACCCTATCGGACCAATAACAGAACAAATATTTCCAAATAAAAAGAGAATCCACGCCCAAATAGGACTGCACGATATGGAAAACAACATCATAAAATTTTTCAAAGACTATATTCCACCAAAAATTAAATATGCCTTATATTTCAACCAAGATGAAAACTACCAAGCCACATGTGATATACTCCAAAGGACATTTAAAAACACTGCATATGACTTAGTCAAATGTAGTGAAATATTAGAAGATGTTGCGAACGCGGAGAATCAGCGAGAAATCATAAAAAACTATCATGAGGGAAAAACCAACCATAGGGGTATTAATGAGACAGAAATCCAGCTAAGACGAAGATATTATTGGCCATCAATAAAAAATGACATTCAAGAATACATCGATTTTTGTGAAATCTGTCAAGCAAATAAATATGACAGAAAACCAGCTAAACCTAAATTCATGATCACACCAACACCTACAAAACCAATGGAAGTTGTTCATATAGACACATTTCAGGCAAACGGGCAAAAATTTCTCACTTTAATTGACGCATTCTCCAAATATGCTCAAGCTTACCCTATAGATGGTTCAAATGCGATAAATATAATAAACGCACTTCTTATTTTCATAACACACCACGGACTACCAAAATTAATAATTTCGGACAATGGAACAGAGTTTAAAAATGGACTAATGAGAGATTTCATAGATACTCATAAAATTTCAATTCATTATACCACACCAGAGAATCCTCAATCCAATGGTATGATAGAAAGATTTCACTCAACCTTAATAGAACATCTTCGAGTTATAAAAGGCCAAAATTCAAACTTCAATGTAAAAGAACATATGCCATATGCTATACTAGGGTATAACAACTCTATACACTCCGTTACCAAACAGAAGCCAATTGATATTTTGAATGGACATTTGGACCCATTGGACCCATTCGATATTGATATTGAAAAAACACTGCTCAATAATTATGCTCAACAACACAGAGAAAAGGCCAAGGCAATCTACAAGGAACTCAATCAGAAAGCAATCGAGATCAAAGAAAGAACAATTGAAAAACGCAATGAGAAAAGACAAGTGCCAATAACCTACAAAACGAACACTAATATCTATACTAAAACCACAGAAAAACGGAACAAATTATTACCCAGATTCACTCGAAAGATCGTGACATTAAATAACCCAGTCACTGTTAAGTTACCCAATACAACTATACATAAGAAAAATATAAAACACAAGTCCGAACGAAGAATTGACCGTGAATCCTCGTTGCAGATGGAATCCCGTGCTGGGACAGGAAATCAGGATCCAGGATCTCAAAGACAACCCAGGGATCCTTCCCCTCAAGCTGGGCCAAGCCAAAATACAAATTAGTTCACATGATTTCATACACTACTACAACCTCACACCAATCGCCATAGAAATAGACGCCCTAACAGACCAGTACGAGAAGGTCACAGTCGCTATCGCTGATGGACTAAGCCACCCATATTTCGACAGTCTTCAGAATTTCGACCAAGGATTACGATACCAATTAGACGCAGTACATCGAAAATTTCAGACAATCTACCCGTCTCACCGAAGTAAGAGAGGCCTAATCAATGCCTTTGGCAGCATTATCAAAGCTATATCTGGTAATTTGGACAATGAAGATGCCGAAAAATATGATAACGCCATAACCACCCTCCAAAGCAATCAGAAGAACGTCATCCAACGTTTGAATCAACACATGTCACTAACAACTCGACTTATAGAGAACTTCAACAATACAGTTACCTTAATAACACACAACCAAGAAGTAATTGTCAGAGAAATCAATACGATTCGATCCAAACTCAATAAATTCGTATTCGAATTCAATGATTACATGCTAACAAGAAATATCCTGGACCAGATAAGCCTCTCGTTACAACTAATACTCCAACTACTCACCGATCTAGAAAATGCAGTTACCTTTGCAAGAATCAATACCCTTCATAATAGTATCATCAGAACCAATGAATTGAAATCAATAACCGATATAATGTTAAGACACCACTCAGAGAAACAGCTCCTGTATATAAACGAAGAAGATCTGCTGAAATACTATGATGTCATATCAGTCGACGCCTATTACTCAAAATCAATGATCGTTTTCATTTTACACTTTCCACTCCTAATACCAGATATATTCAATCATTACCACTTATTCTCAATCCCTACTAGTAACTTAACCACCATTATTCCACCCAAACCTTATCTGACAATGAATACAGAACTCCACCAGTATACAGATAGACCATGCCGAAAAATCGATTCCGGGTACCTTTGCCCAAGTATTGCCATCCAATACCGAACACGTAGTCCAGATTGCATCTCCCAGATTCTTCAGCTCTCAGACGAAGCCGCCCAATGCCAACTAGTTCCAATATCGATCAATACTACTCTGATCGAACAACTGACTGAAGCCCACTACGTCGGTATATTTCCACAATCGACGAAAATCGCCACCCAGTGCCAAGTATCAGGCATATCAGTACTTCAAGGGACGTTCCTCATCGAGTTACCACCAGGCTGTGAGTTTCACACCCCCGAAGACAGCTACATAAATTCCAAAGAAGTGGTACACGAAGAACCGCTAACCCTGCCAAGAATCAAGACCATCAACAGTGAACCGATGAAACATCTGAGCCCGATCCGCCTGGAGAAAGTCGCCCTCGATGAACTCCACCAAATCCAAAGCGAGCAAGAACACCTTCAACCCTTAGTCATCAGAGAAGCCGCCGACCACAGTCACTTTTGGACAGCCCCGGTATACATCGTCGTCGCAGCCATCCTAGCAGCCATTTGTTACAAGTGGCGCCGATTCCTCACCTGCCCAAAGAAGACATCGCAGAAGCCAGCACCGCAGTCTTCAGTTCTGTTCGTCCCTCACAAAACTTCTTCAGGGGATGAAGTAGTTACAATTTGATTCCACCTTTATTCAGCGATATCTGAAGCCACCGCCGTTACGGATTCCTAGAGTTCTCATGAGAACGGTGCCGAGATGCTGACTTTGCGTATTCACTTGAATTATATTCCATATTTTATAGTTAGTCTGACTTTAGAATTCTTACTGTTCACTTGGTACCTAATTTTGATTTTTGTTAAGTTCTGTTCCGAAATAAATCTTTTTAAAAATAAGATTTCCCGGATTCAAACTTTAACTTATGTTTCGTTGTATACATCCCAATTATAAACAATAATGTTTTGGGGGTAATAATGACAATCAATCAATCATTCAATATTTTTTCATAAAGGTTCCTCCCCGTTTTCGATATTGTGGTACATCGATTCCTGGAAATTCCCCAAGTCACCAAGAGTCTGGAGATACTGTTGGAGCATCTAGGATGTCTGTACAAGTTCCATGACAGACCTGTCACTTATTTGTACAACACCTTGCACTATTACGAGGCCAAGCTGAGGGACAGGCCTCCATTGAAGAGAAGGTAATCTTGTTGTCAATGGTCGAGATGAAAAGTACTAATTTCTAGAAAAAATATTGTAGATTGGTGGCCGCCGTATTGGGAAACCTCAAAGACACCTTATCGGAGCCCTATCAAGCCTACCTCGCTCGATCTCCGGAGGAAGTTTGGCAGCCCGAACTGGACTACTATGTGCAAGTGATTCGCAGGTAAAAATTTTGTAATTATTGGCATTTCTTTATTTATTTCATTTAAAAAAGTTTGACATTTCACCTTTTTTTGCCACCCATCTTGGATATTCATTTACAACTGCTTGTCCTTCTTTTTCCATCACTGGACACTTTATATACTCACGTTGTACTTCAATAACACATTTTATTTACTAAAATCAACAAAAAGTATGGTGAATTTTTTGGACATTTGACCTTTATTTGACATCTCGTATTGGTATGATTACCCATGACTTGATTTGGTAATTCAATGGCCATCAGCTGGTGTCCTGGTGTGATGGTTTACCTCACTAAGAATATAGTGTTCCGAGAGATAAAAAAACACATTTATTTGGATATATAGTATATATCTATCAATTCTCTGGCAATGATTCCGCCAAGTTCTCCCCACCATTCGCGATATCATTCTTTCATCCGTGTTTGGCGTTCAGGAATGTTGTCATTTAGTCTTTTATGATTCGCGAATGAATAACGGTGTCTATCTATCGTTCATTAGTCTGAGCACTGAGCAAATGTACAATTTTCTGTTATTATCCCCACCATTCACAATTTCATTCATTCATCCGCGTTTAGCGTTCAAGATTGTTGGCGTATACTTTTTGATGATTTATCAATGTATACATACACAAATTAAAGGCGAATGAAAAGGTATCCACAAAGGGACGATTCCCTGTACTAGGATGGGTGTGGTATATAGGGTGATTCACGGTGGATGGCCTATTAGAAGTATCTGGAGAACGAGAAGATAGAACATTCTGAAAATTAGGATGCTTTGATAGAAAACTTTCGAAAACTATTGTACCAATTTATAAAGAGCATTATTTGCTGATGAAGAGTAGTATACAGTATTTTTGAAATTTTAGCGACTCTTTTTCGTGATTTAGCGACATTTTTGATCATATTTCCTCATTTTCAGTTAGTTTAAAACATCAGATAAAAAATCGTAGAAAACTTTATTTATTCAGAATCTGTTCAGAATAAAATGAATATAGGTAAATTTTCCTATACAATTTCATTCGGTACTATTAGGTTGGTACAGTGTTATGTCAGAACATAACATTTCTCGGTCGTATTTGAGGTTTGTCTTTCCATGTATCAACTCGTATTTCTAGTTCAACATCATACAGATCTGCGACTTCATTGTTATGAGTCGCATTGGTTCCTATAATTTTCAATACTGATTTAGGCAAAATAAAATATTCACAAGCAACACAAGTTTTTAAACCATCCAACATTTGAATCGCTGTTGCTCGAAAACTAGTCATAGGATTGAGTTGGCCCATGAGAGCTTTTGATCAGGATATCAAAAACTACAACAGACTATAATTCCAGCCGATTTGACCGGGACCCAAAAACCCATAAGAGCGGTGCGTGGTCCTTTGAAGGGCTTCATTGGGACATGAAATTTCAAAGTGACAGTGACAGAAATTCGAAATAATTAAAAAAAGCAGGCGGACGACTATGGTGTTTCGTCACATTGTCAGGTGGAAAAACCAAATGAAACAATAGTTATTTATGTATTAAGGGAATTATGAGGGCCTTAATTACCGATGGCAAAGTTTGCGTCCCGAGGGCCTCTGGCCCGAGGGACAGCAATTGCCAGAGATTAAGGCTCTGTAATTCCCGTGATACATAGATAATTTTATTTCTGACTGATTTCATTCATTAGATACCTTCCCGATTGGAAGTTAGACATTTTTTGCCGTATAGTTTCAATGTCATCAGAACGTCAGATGATGATCTTGACTACCGCGAATAGGAGATTCCTTATTGCTACGTTATTGCGTGGTTGTTGCTATGCATTTCTTATTTAATTTTAGCTAGAGGGAATTATAGCATCTATAACATCCCAAGGGAGTTATGACCCTCATTATAGATATCGTAACTATGACGATATAAGCTTATAATGTCACTGTCAGAAATAAAATATTAAAAACCCCGACGGCTGTCAGTTTTGTGTCCGGACTCTTGTCTAAGGTATAGGTATACAGGGACTCTACTACTACGATGAACCGACCCTAGAGGCAAAATATTGAAACACTACATCACTCTTCTGTGAATTATTGAAACACAACATCATTTTTTTTATTTGTTTACAGAGGAATCAAAGGATTGAAATAGTTTTTCACAACATTTTGGCATACGAATCATGTTTTTTGTGCTATTCAAGCATGCTTTCGCATGCAGATAAATAGTAATCTCACATAGTTTTCATTATGAAATGTTGTCATTCCTTATTGAAATACCTTCTGCCACTTCTGCAATACAAGCTAATACTGCTAATAGATTGAAAATGTCTTCCATACACGACATGATCTTATTTCGTCAGCATGTCAGACCACTCCTCCCGTTTGATTGCATGAATCCAATCTTCTTGCATTATTTTAGAAATTTCACGATTATTACCTATTAGCTCCTATTGCAGAATGAATTCCGATGAGAAGTCAGAGGAATTACCAAATTTCAAAAATGAAAACTACAGGGTGTTTCAGTTTTTTGTAGCAGGACTTTAACAGCTTGAAGAAGACATTTTTTCAAGATGAAAATCTCAAACAAACATATATGCGTGGGAGCTTCGTTTCCGATTTACAGGGTGTCAAAGTTTTAGATCATTTTTATGTTTTTTGAATTTTCTCGTACAATTTTCGGAATAATTGATTCAAATTTGGTACACCTAATACACTTCAAAAACTCAATATTTGAGGCTATTGAGCGTTTTTGAATACCTACAGGGTGATAGACTTTCAGGGGTCGTACCCAATTTAACCCTGTAGCACCTTTTTGCGTGCCGCCTCTGCTTTCAATGGGACATAGATTCAGTTGTCTCTGCAATTTGGAAACTTTTTGCCCCCATGTATGTTTTTCGAAAACTGTATGGATTTCGAGATAAATAAAAATGGAGTCCGAACCACTTCTAAGGGTACTGATAAAATTAGAATTGCCGTTCACGAGATTATAGTTATTTATGTATTAAGGGAATTATGAGGGCCTTAATTACCGATGGCAAAGTTTGCGTCCCGAGGGCCTCTGGCCCGAGGGACAACAATTGCCAGAGGTTATTGAGGCTCTATAATTCCCGTGATACATAGATAATTTTATTTCTGACTGATTTCATTCATTAGATACCTTCCCGATTGGAAGTTAGACATGTTTTTCCGTATAGTTTCAATGTCATCAGAACGTCAGATGATGATCTTGACTACCGCGAATAGGAGATTCCTATTGCTACGTTATTGCGTGGTTGTTGCTATGCATTTTTCATTTAATTTTAGCTAGAGGGAATTATAGCATCTATAACGTCCCAAGGGAGTTATGACCCTCATAATAGATATCGTAACTATGACGATATAAGCTTATAATGTCACTGTCAGAAATAAAATTATTAAAACCCACAACACCTCAACCGTCAGAAGCGACAGTCTAGCGATGTATAGCGCCTAGACCATGTGTCATACAGTCCCTGATATCGAAAGTTTAACCAGTTTCAGTTATACAGGGTGTTCTAGAATTTTCTACAATACAATTTCAGATTTTGCAATCCAGTTAGAAAAGTTTTTTAAAATGAAAACATTTTTTTCTCTGTTTTTCCTAGTTTTAATTATAATGGTGTTCAAAAAATTCAATCTAATTTTGCAACTGAATTTCATTTGGTATGGAAGCTTTCGGTCATTCTATTTTCCAATGAAATGTTTGAGAAATGTCAAATAAGTGTGTTTGAGAAATAACGGTTTTATGACAAGTAATTAATTTTTGATATTTATCTCGAGATCCATACAGTTTTCGAAAAATTTACATAGGGGCAAAAAGTTTCCAAATTAAAAGGACAATCTGAATCTATGTCCCATTGAAAGCAGAGACGGCACGCAAAAAAGTTCTACAGGGTTAAATTGGGTACGACACCTGAAAGTCTATCACTAGTAGGTATTCAAAAACGCTCAATAGCCTCAAATATTAAGTTTTTGAAGTGTATTAGGTGTACTAAATTTCAATCAATTATTCCAAAAATTGTAGGAGAAAATTCAAAAAACATAAAAATGATCTGAAACTTTGACACCCTGTAAATCGGAAATGAAGCTTCCACGCATATATGATTGTATGAGATTTTCATCTTAAAAAAATGTCTTCTTCAAGCTGTTGAAGTCCTGCTACAAAAAACTGAAACATCCTGTATATGTGAGTGACTATAGTAGGTACTTACTTTCAAATCATAATGTACCGACCGGATTAGTTCGTCTTCCGCTGCAGTTTTTTTGCATTGTACAGGGTATCCCAATTTGGGCACTTTTGCGGGGTATCTCCCTTATCAGTAAAGATAGAGCATTGCGGTTTTCGCGACAGTGTGCTACTTTTTTATGAAATTAATAATGGCGCAAGCAGAATTGTGATAGCTCTTCCGGTTGTCGAGATACAGGGTGGAATTGAAAAATATCACTTTTCAGGCACCCTCCGTGTCTCAGTTATCTTTGAACTTATCGAAGAAGTTAAAACTTGTTTTATAGAGTTTTTCTCGTAGAATCCAGTGGCGTAGTTATTTTTTTTGCTAGCACCTTTTGTTTTTTAGTTATGGAGCAAACATATGTTTTTTTAAATGGAACACCCTGTATATTATTTCATATATACATTGAGCATGAAGTGGGCTTTCCAAAAATATATAATTGTATACAATTATTTTCCATTTAAAAAAACATAATGTTTGCTCCATAACTAAAAAACAAAAGGTGCTAGCAAAAAACTACGCCACTGGATTCTACGAGAAAAACTCTATAAAAACAAGTTTTAACTTCTTCGATAAGTTCAAAGATAACTGAGACACGGGGGGTGATATTTTTCAATTCCACCCTGTATCTAGACAACCGGAAGAGCTACCACAATTCTGCTTGCGCCATTATTAATTTCATAAAAAAGTAGCACACTGTCGCGAAAACCGCAATGCTCTATCTTTACTGATAAGGGAGATACCCCGCAAAAGTGCCCAAATTGGGATACCCTGTACAACAGCACAATGTGATGGCATGAGCGAATTAATGAATAGCCCAAAAATTCGATTCCTATGCCAAAATAATTGTGAAAAACTATATCAATCACTTGTGAACAAATGAGAAAAGTGAGGTTGTGTTTCAATGTTGTGCGTCCAGGGTCGGTCATTTGACAGTTCTTACACGCAACCCATTGGTATTGTGTTTGTGTGTGGTCAGGATCGTGGGTGTGATAGGCGGCGGCACCAGTGCCGGCTCGATGACCGACTGGCGGTTCAACGAGTTCCCCAACGCCGGTGCGCACATCCTCTACACCTCCTGCGTGGAACTGATGGCGCTCTCTGCCGGGCCGGAGGAGGTGGCCAACGGTCTGCTCGATGTCGTCGCCAAAGGTGAGCGACGCAAAGGTTCTTTACTATCGCTCTCTATCGATGATTTTCGAAGTGAAAACTTCTTTCTGCTAGGCAACATATTTACTTCCAAGAATCTGAAGTTGAACTTTAGTTCCCAGAAGCTAAAGTTATGGATTTGGGGAATCTGAGTGTCTATGGTTCACAAGTTACTTGAAAAACAGAAAGCAGATTGTTGAGGTGGATGATATTAGATCTGATCCAGCATTTATCAATCTAGGTGTACCACAAGGTAGCATACTAGGGCCTATACTGTTTTGCATATACATAGCCAACATTACCTGGGTAGTGAACCATTGCAAAGTACATCTTTATGCAGATGACACACAAGTGATAAAAACTTTCGATCCAGTAGAGGCTAGTGAAACATTATACCTAATAAATGAAGATCTCGACAGAATAGTTGACTGGTCAAATGATCATGGACTGAGACTCAACCCGACAAAAAGCTGTTTCCTAATTATTGGCTCAAGTACAATCAGGCATAAATTCTTTCAGCACAACTTCACTACTTTACATATCAAAAACAATGAAATACCCCTATAAGGAAAGTGCTAGAAATCTAGGACTGATATTTGATTCCAATTTTAATTTTGAACCTCATGTGAACAAAAAAATATCACTAATGTATATGAAGCTGAAGTCAATTCACAAATTCAAATTCATATTGGATAAACGAATCAAATTGAAATTAATCGAAAGTCTATTATTTCCACAAATAGATTATTGTATCACAATTTATTATAAGTTTTTAACAAAAGAATATAAAAACAAATTACAACTTTCACAAAATGCCTGTATCCGATATGTACACAACATTAACAAATATGATCATATAACCCCTGTATATAACAGCAACAACATCCTGAAAATTGAATATCGTTATCAACTACTATTTGGAGTATTTTTAAAAAAAATCATAGATCATAATAAACCAGCATATTTAGCAGATTTTCTAACTCCACGTCATGAACTACATAACCAGCATAACCTTAGGAACATTATAAGATATAACATCCCACAGCACAATACCACCAAATTTGAATACTGTTTTGCCTATGTATCAATAGAATTTTTAAATAATCCAGAATACTATCTTAGAACTCAGAACAGATCTGTAGCTAGCTTTAGAAGAATATGGAGAGACTACCTTTTAAGTATTCAGACATAGAATGTGATAAAAACTTTACTCATAACGAGTGGTGGTATGGTAGAACGTGTAAACGAATGCCACCTTTTGTGTAGTATTGTAGTATGTTATATTTATATGATGTAAGATATTTACACAATAAATGTTTTTCTTTTCTATTCTATTCTAAAGTTGAACTTTAGATCCTAGGAACTAAAAAGGATGTACTAGACGTCATCAAGAATAATAGTAGATTGTTTTATTAGGATCAAAAGTGACACTTTGTTTGACAAGCGAATTTTGCATTTGCGAGGCGGAGCGTTTAGCGAAGCCGAGCGAAAGCAAATTTTGCGAGTCGAACAAAGTCACTTTTGATCCGAATGAAACATGCTATTTTTTCTGCAACCGAAACAATTAACTCAAATGAATATGTGAAGTAACCACCAATAATGCCGTGCCATATGTATATGCAATGCAACAAATATTGACAAATAATCCAAGTTGTGAGAATATTCTACCTGCATTAACAGCAGGTTAGGTTTTCTAGGATGTTCGAATTGTAGTTTCAATATAAATACAACCACAGAGTGACATATTTGTGTATGGACCAGGTGCTCTAATGGAAAATATCGGCCAGTGCCAGCTATAGGAACAAGACGTAGAAAATGTTAGGTTAGTGAGCATATCAACAATGATAATAGTGATTATTTTTATTCCTCTCCATGCTACACTGTGTTTGACTTGATAATCAAATGAAGCTAAACAATATCGTTGTTTGAGACAAAAAAACTATTGCTTGCCGTGATTATTCAAAAAAAAGTTATCCATCCCGAGAGTAACGAATGAAATACAGATCAAGCAAGAATTCGAATCTTGAAGGCTTCCCTGATCAAAACAAAAATCCCAAAAAATTTGGAATAATGAATGTACCACCTCCTCGATTAACCTACAGACAGTATTTATCAAAAATACTCAACTGAGATGTTTATAATCCCAATACTCAACTATAATAAGGTGTATTTATATCTCCATCATGGGTATGAAATGCCAAATCTGCTGAAATCGGAAACAAATCAGGTATGCGTCTCAACCCAAATAACCAACCGTCACAATGTTGTTTATTCTTGATGACGTCGAGTACATCCTTTTTAGTTCCTAGGAGCTAAAGTTCAACTTTAGCTCCTAGGAACTAAAATTCAACTTTAGCTCCTAGGAACTAAACATGTTGCCTAGCAACATACCTTTTTTTGTGTCAGTAATAGAAACGTCAATTTAAGAGCTAATTTTGGTATCAAAATGGACGACTTTTGTGTCGGTTGGTTATTTGGGTTGAGACGCATACCTGATTTGTTTCCGATTTCGACAGATTTGTCGTTTCATTCCCACACTATTTGACTTTGTCAATGCTTGGTCTCTGTTTTTTTGCTCTTTGGACACAAGACTTCCAATAATCAGACATGAAACTCTATACGTCAGTACCTTGGATATTAACTATTAAAATCTGTCTCTTGGAACTCGTCTCAGATTATTAGATGAAGAAATGAGAATATCATATATCTAAACCTAACATCTGGTGGGCACTTCGAAACCGCAAATCCATCCAGATTTTTAGCTATTCAGTTACTTGACCACGAATGACATTCCGGTAAAGGCGGCCATTTGGTGGTCTACTGTCATCACTCCATTTAATCTACTCACTCTAGATTTAACGATGATTCGTTTGTAAAAACTTTACAAACGCTAAGATTTACACAAAATCCTTCATTTAATTTCAAATTCATTCAGTGCATTCATGAACATATATTAGAAGAAAACCATAGTTTTGATGAAAATTCCGAAATTCTACATCTAGCAAATAAAGGAATGAAATTCAATCATTTTGATCATTAGAAATGTCTTAGTAGGTAATGATATGTATTTGCTATCAACCCTTTCAAGTTAATCCGGTACACCGTATTTTGATGTAGATATTGTGCCTTATTTCCGAAAATGAGGGTTTATCGAACCTGTCCACAGGTAGGGTCCCTTGATGCAAACGGACGTATTAGTCATCTAACAGGGTACGGACAGATCATAGCTCCTTTCTCTTTTAATCATCTAGTGACTTTGGTTTCGTGTATTGGCGCCCCAGACATGACATTGCTGTCACGTCACGTTTTAGGCGTTGAAAGAAATCTTACGAAATTTTAATTTAAACAAGTGCTATTCGGGCGTATTGGGGCATTTGCATTGCGCGCGTGGGTTGCGATTTGTGAAGGAGTCTAGCCTCCTATAGATGTTGCCAAGTTGAATATTTTACGCGTACTTTGCAGACTTCAACGTGTGATGCGTGGGCAAGCACTGTTGCCAATTCAAAAATATTTACTCAAAACAGGAAATAAAATCAAAATCCATGTATTTTGGTGTCCTTCTAATGAGAAAGTATAGATGATATCAATTTGAGGAGAATCTCTGAGGAAGCTCAGCCTCCGTTGCCTCCTTTGAGGAGCCGCCACTGCTCAGAACGTGGCAAGTGAAGTGACCGAATGGGGAAATTTGTTAAATACATCAGCAAAATATTCGAGGTAAAACTAATACGAATTCACATATTATACTTTCTCATTGTGCCTATAATTATCCACTCCACAAGTTTTTACATTCAGGAAATATTGAGTGTTCGTAAAAAACTGCAAAAATGATTCCCAACATGAATATACCGGGTGGCTACGGAAGTATTGCCTACGGAATATCTCAGTTATTGTATGAAGTAGGTTTGTGAAATTTGGAGCGTCGATATAATGACATAAGAACTAGAATTTGAGCATATTGACATGTCGAAGTTAACTTCCGGTCTAACCGGAAGTAACATCAACTTTCTTATTTTGAATGGAAACCCTTTTTTTTTCTTTTCGTTTTATTCAGCATTCAATTCCTTTTTCAATGACATATCACAAGTTGGTATCTAACCAGAAACTAGATCAGAAAAAAAATATTATTGAAATTCACCGAGTAGAATAATAATTGGATTTTTTGGTATTTCATTTCAAAAAATGACTTTCTATTATATCATCAGAAAGAAATGGTTATGCCGAATAGTACAGGCAAGAAAAAATTGCATGTTCCTATTTAAATTATGGACCTACAGAGTATTGTTTTTTCCCCAATTTTTCCAATATTTTTTTTGCGGCTTTTTATAACGCCGACGAATGAAAATGAAATATCACAGTAGTAGCAACTGTCATCAAGTGACGTATGGTTTCCATAGCCAACTTTTCAATTTTTGGCTTTCATTTTGCTTCCACGGCCTACTAGGTGAATTTCAATAATAATTTTTTTCTGATCTAGTTTATGGTTAGATACCAACTTGTGATATGTCATTAGAAAGGGAATTGACTGCTGAATAAAGCGAAAAGAAGAAAAAATAGGGTTTCCATTCAAAATAAGAAAGTTTATGTTACTTCCGGTTAGACCGGAAGTTAACTTCGACATGTCAATATGCTCAAATTCTAGTTCTTATGTCATTATATCGACGCTCCAAATTTCACAAACCTACTTCATACAATAACTGAGATATTCCGTAGGCAATACTTCCGTAGCCACCCGGTATACAGCACACATGACATTAGTTTGAATACCTACATAAAATTTGTCACCATTTCTCAAACATAAGGCTGAGTCAGAAATCAAAATTCATTTATTGATAGGTACTGCCAAAGAAAAATTTACTCACTGCTTCACAAAGATTATGCTGGAGTTGAAAAATCAAAAACTCGAAAATTATCATCATCATTTGGATATAATATGTAGAGTTGAATGAGAAATTACATGTGGAAATTACGTATGATACGCCAATGACCTCAATATAACCTAAAAAACAACAAAAGTCAGAAATCTAGTGTTTATCCCCAGGAATTGATAACGAAGGAACTATATATAACACTTTAGAGTGAGAGGAGACGAGGATCTGTCCGTACCCTGTTAAGATGACAAATACGTCAATTAACATCAAGGGACCCTATCCACAGGTAACTAATCCTTCAAGTTGGGAAAGTAGGATATATAAAATTTAAGCAAGCCAAGGTTGGTTTAGTTCATTGTACCAGTATATCACCTGACGAAGCTACTGTGTTAGCGAAACATGTTGTGTGTTTGAGAATTTTGTGGAAATCTTATCGTTTGTTAAGTTTTTCCATTTGCCATGGATTTCCATCAAGTAACGGCCGAGTCTAGTCAAAAGATGATTCATTTATTTATTTATTTATTTCAACGGTTACACCATTTTTATAAAAAAAATTACAACAAAAATATGAATAATAATAGTAGGAGCAATGAAAATTACACTCATAGAAATGTAGCACTTATTATATTAATCAGGTATTCCTAATTGTTTTCACAACATTCGTTTTGAATTTACCTAGACTGCCACAGAATAGGTCACAATGATTTTGAAGAACGACATAATTCCTTTGTAGCCTTGAAATAGGGTTATTGTTGCCATAATTCGTTGAGTGAAAAGTCAAGGAAAATAAAGGAGGATTTCTTGTTCTGGTCATTGTATTAAATCTAATCAAACTGAGCAGATCTGGAGAATTAATAAGGCCATTGACCAATTTATATAGGAAACATATCCAACACTAATCTACGATTTTCTAAAGTTAGTAGATTAAGCTCCATTAAGATATCTGGGTAGTTTATATGAGCAACATGATAACTCTTGCGATATGAATATGTTCTCAGGAACCTTTTCTGAATTCGCTCTAAACTATCAATATGTATTTGATAAAAAGGCCTCCAAATGATGGAACCATACTCAAGTGAAGGTCTAACCAGATGGCAATAAAGTGAACTAAGTGTTTAAGGAGAGAATTGTTTACTGTTCCTAGTAATAAAACCTAAGTTCCTTGATGCAGTGTTCACTACCTTAGTAATATGACTTCTAAAAGTTAGTTTAATATCGAATATTATGCCTAAGTCCTTTATCTCATTGACTCTCTTCAATACAGAGTTATTTATTCTATGAGCGTTTTCAATATAATTATGACCCATTGAGAAAGTGATACAAAAACACTTTGAAATATTGAGGTCCAAGTAATTAACTCTAGACCAGACATGGAAGTTATTCAAATCAGATCGCAGCAGATCAATATCCATATGATGCTGAATTTCTTTATATATTTTGAAGTCATCAGCATATAATGTAAAAACAGAGTGAAAAATATATTTGCTAATATCGTTGACAAACAAATTGAAAAGTAACGGTCCACAATGAGAGCCTTGAGGAACTCCTGACAGTACTGGAATTACGTTAGATAAAAAACTTCTGATCCTCACCTGCTGTTGACGACCAACTAAGAAACTTTCAATCCATGCTACCAAACCAAGATTTGTTCGCACTCACAGAAATTCGTTCTGTTATGAAATATAAAATATTGATAGATTCGTGACAAATGATGAAAATCAACATCCTGCGGAAATGGCATTGACAAGCACGACACCTTTCAACAGGTTTCGTGATGATCCCGCCCTCCGAGATCCACCGCTGGCTGAACGCCATCGGCCTCTGTCTCTCCGCCCTGCCGTGCGCCTATTGGAGCGTGCTGCACGGCCGACTGTCTGCGACGTTGGCCGAACTGGACTCGTGGCCGTTCGCGTGCTCGCCCTTCCGGCTGTTCGACTTCGCGGAGACGCACGCCGCACTGCTGCACAACCGGTTCGCGTACGCGCTGGCGCTCGCGCATTCCGTGTGGCATCACGCGGGGCCGGGGCAAGTGGCCAGCGTGCCCAGATGGGTGAGTAATAGAGACATTATATTGAAAAGGAATATTCTCAGATATACAGGGTGTCCCAGAACAACGTACATTAAATTCAACAGGGTGAACTAGAGTTCAAAATAGGTCGATTGGGACCAACTTACCTCTGTACGAAAATGCACCGTTGGGCCGTGAGAGGGCGATGAATGGATTTTTTTTTTTCAGATTTTATTAAATATTTCAAAATCCTTGAGAGGTAATGCTCTAAAATTTGGAAGGCAGTCAACTATAAGAAGTGTGCATAGATAACAGGTCTCATCAGTTCTTACTTACTTACTTACTTAATCTTTATTTTCCTTTCAGACAATATTACATTGTATAGGAATCGTCACAATATAAACTTATAATCTATCTTAAATCTAGTATCACAAGTGAGTATAGTAAAGTAATGATTAAAAAGCAGTTCACAAAAAATCATGGACGGAATAGTGAGATTTCAGCAAAAGATATTCTTTTAATTTTATTTTGAATTGTTTGGTCGAGGAAATACATTTGATGTTTTGTGGGATTTTGTTATAAAGCATTGGGCTCATGTTGTTTGGAGATTTGAATGTGAGCGTTTTTGTAGTAATAGGCAGGTGTAGGTTATCTTTTGATCTAGTGTTAAAATTATGAACTTGAGAATTTTTCACAAAACTTTTGTTGTTATGAACATAAACACACATTTCAAAAATATACAGACATGCAAGTGTTAAAACTTTCAATTCTTCAAAAATAGTTTTACAGCTATCAGTACGTGATTTGAAGACCATTGTTCTAATAATTTTTTTCTGAGCCATAAATACCTCAGCCGAGTGAGCTGACCAACCCCAAAAGCAAATACCGTAGCGTAATCGCGATTCGACTTGGCCGTAATATACCATCAGTAATTGTTGACGAGTTAAAATTTCTCGCAGATTCCTCATAAGAAAATTTTGCGAAGATAAGGTTCGAGTCAAGCTATCACAATGAATTTTCCAATTCAAAGTATTGTCCAAGTTCAAACCAAGAAATTTAACAGAAGATTGTTCGAATAAATTTTCATTTTCATATTTAATATTCAATGTCGTGCATGTTTTGTGACTACTGCGGAACCTGATATATTGAGTCTTCTCATTATTCATATAAAGGGAATTTTTGCAAAACCAATTGTTTATATCCAGGGGTGTATTATTACAATAATATTCTAAAGTTTCATCAGATTTATGAGATATTATCAAAGAAGTGTCGTCTGCGAAAAGAGTGAATGACACGTTTTCAGAGGAAGTTTCTACATCGTTAACATATAGAAGGAATAATATTGGACCCATTATAGACCCCTGTGGTACACCTACGGCAGTATCAAGTGAAGAAGATGTGATGTTTTGACGAAAATTCATCTCATTTGTATTTGTAATACTCACAAACTGCTTTCTATTGCATAAGAATGTTTGAATCCAATTGAGCGCTGAACCTTCAATACCAAATTTTCGTAATTTATTAATGAGTATAGTATGATCAACACAGTCGAATGCCCTGGTCAAATCACAGAAAATCCCCACAGGGCATTCGCACGTGTTGATCAAGCTGACGATTTTGTCATAAAATGAATGAATGGCAGTAATTGTACTTTTATTTTCTTGAAATCCGTGCTGGTTTTCAGAAATTTTGTCATTTTTACTAAGATAGGCAAGTAGACGCACAAAATAGGCATATTCTAGGATTTTTGAGAAAGTCATAGGGATAGTCACAGGTCTATAGTTCTCGATATTATGTGTTTCCCCCTTTTTGTGTATCGGGATTATTTTTCCAAGTTTCAGGTTGTCTGGAAAAGTTCCGTAACAAAACGACAAATTGACTAAATAGGTGATAGGCTTGACAATATATACAAGAACCTTTTTGACTAGAAAATTAGGGATTTCATCTGCACCAGAAGAGGTAGTATTTTTGAGTTTCTTCACAAGAACATTATAGAGTTCAACTTCGGTATATGGTTGAAGTAAAAATTGGTTTTCTTCGATTTTAGAATCAAGTTTGGTTTTGTTATCCTCAATATTTAGTTTATTTATCTTGTCCAATATTTTTATAGGTGCTTGTTGGAAATTATTATTGAACATATCACTCACAATTGATGGATTCACTATTATATCGTTTTCAGCTTTCAATGCTATATTATAATTTTTCTCATGTTTACCGGAAATCTCGGAGACTACTCTCCAGCAAGCCTTATTCACGTTATTAGAGCTGAATATTTTTGTTTGATAGTATTGCTTTTTTGCTTCCATAACCAAATCCTCATGTCTCCTTTTAGCAGTGAGATATGAGGATCTCAATTCTGGAAATAGCCTTGATAGTTCAATAGATATACAGGAAGATACAAATTTAGCATTCTGATTGGAGAAAATCCATAGAACTTTTTTTGAGTACGCCATTGACAATATTTTAATATATACTTGAATAACAAGATCAATTATCTATCTTTTCTCACTACATTTCTTTCTAAATTTTGCTTGGTTTACGAGATATCTGAAAAAATTCTCTCGGAGTCCCTCCATATCATCCATAGTCCAAGATATCAGAGTTATCGTGTTCTGCAGGTTTCTTCCTCCTTCATGTTGATATTTTGGTCACGTATTCATGTTAATTATTTAATAACCTTTTCATCACGTGCTTATATGCTGATTATTTCTCTATTCTATTTGGATCTACTGATCGAGTTGAGCTGCAAGAGAACATTGATTCGGATTTGAATAATCTTCAAAACTGGTTTTGTGAAAATTCTTTGTATCTGAATACTCCTAAAACAAATGCTGTTATTTTCCATACAGCTCAAAATTCTAATTATGTTAATCCAAGTATTAGAATATCGGATGTTGTGGTAGAAAAAGGTGACAGTGTGAAATTCCTAGGTCTTTTTCTGGATAGCGATCTCAATTTTCGTGCACATTGCACTCAACTCAACAGAAATCTCAACAAAATTTGCTATTTGTTACGAAACCTTAGAAGAATTATCGATAATTCAGGTTTACTTCTATATTATTTTGGAGAAATTCAATCCAGACTCAGCTATGGACTAATCATCTGGGGAAATTCTCCATCGGCACGATGTGTTTTTTCAACACAAAAACGAATTATCAGGATAATTGCGAAAGTATCACCTCTAGAGTCATGCCGAAATCTGTTCAAGAAGTTCAAAATATTACCTTTAGCAGGTCTTTATATCATGGAAATTCTAGTTTTTGTACACAATAATAGAGATAATTTCATAAAAAATAATCATATCCACAATTACAATACCAGGAACCAAAACAAATTCCATTTGCCTACGACACGATTGTCTCTGTGTCTCAATTCTTTCGAATCTCTGGGACTCAGGGCATATAATGCTATTCCAGAAAATATAAAATGTTCAAGCAATGAGAAAGTGTTTAAATATAAATTGAAAAATCTCCTCTTTGAAATTAGCCCATATACAGCTGATGAGTTTTTTACATTTTTGCAGAACTGATGATTTTTGTATGTAATATTTTTATCTTATTTTAGTCATTTTACCTTATTGTAAATTATTCAAATGTTTATTTGTATATTTCATGTATTCTGACTTGTCCAATGGCTTTTGTAAGCTCGTTTTAATGGATCAATAAAACTACTACTACTACTACTATCATATAGGATGGCCCATTTTCAACTTGACAGGGAGATTTTGGGTGATAATAGCGTGGATACGAAAAAATGCACAGATCGGTCGATTTTAGTTTGCACCTCCTGCTAACAATCGAAGTCGTTTGCAGGTTTTTTTCGTTCTGTTGAGAGTTCGGCGGCACAGATATCATATTCATTTTAGCAAGCTCTTCATCAGATGAGTTCATCAAATCAATAATCAAAAAATAAGCTGGATCTCAGAGACAAAGAATAATAATAATAATAAAAATAATAATCTTTCTATAGTACAATGGTTTGAGTGAATAAAACATATATTCTGCTCTTTGTCATTTCAATTTCCCTAGTAGCGCCTGATTGTCAGATACGACGAGGTTAGATTTTTCTCTCAAGTTGTGGTTCTTCATAACGTGTCACCTGGTACAATTACTTGAGAACCACCTTGTATGTTTGTTAACTATTGCCGGTATTGCAGGTAAGGGAATGTCTGCCGAGCATCGTCCGCACTGAGGAGCAGTTCCTGTTCGTGTGCCATCTGGTGGGGCCTTTTTTGCAGCGCTTCAACATGGCCATCGTCGATTTGACCAACGTGCTGTACGAGCTTCTGGCGCAAGTGGATCAGGCGCAAGCCGAGTTGAAGTAGGTGTAATTATTTTTTTAATTGACTCGGCCGTTACTTGATGGAAATCTATGGCAAATGTAAAAACTTCACAAACGATAAGATTTCCACGGAATTCTCAAACACACGACATGTTTCGCTAACACAGTAGGTTCGTCAGGTGATATACTGGTGCAATGAACTAAACTAACCTTGGCTTGCTTAACTGTCATTTCTGGTTCCCACAAAAAGGGATATCCTGTAATGTTCAGAGAACATCGTGAGAACCAAGGAAAATAAGGTAGGAATTGGTGTTCTTCTTAAATTTCTGGAGGTTATATGCCTCGGCGAACACCTCCCTTGGCAATGTGTTCCAGAGCCTCGCTGTTCGTTGGATGAACGAGTCTTTGGAAAGAGATGTTTTTTGCAGATCTCCAAAGTGATCACGAAGGGGTGCGAAGCCTCAACTCGGAAGGGTCAATCTCGCGGGGACTGCCAAGGGAGGAACAATTGTTGATATTTCAAAAGAGCTTCGTCCATGAAAATATCTATAAAATAGAGCCAGATCGCCAATTTTTCTACGGTGTTCCAGAGAAGTGAGTGAGTTTGTGAGCGAGGCATCACCTACGAGACGAATTGCCCTTTTTTGGACAGAATCCAACAGTTTCAGGGTATGTTTGAGTGCTGCACTCCAAATATAGGAACATTATCCCAGGACAGGTCGGATCTGTGCCTTACAGATCATAAGCAGCCGACTGGAAGTGAAATAGCTCCTGGCCCGAAACAGAAAACCAAGCTTTTGGGATGCACTTTTAGCAATTGATCTCACGTGATTTTCCCAAGAAAGGTTATTGCTGATATTGTGTTTTATTTGCATTGAAATCTACCAAGTTATTGGATCCCCATTCGAGAATCATTGCCAAGTCCATATTTATGTTGTCAACATTTCTCCTGGAGGATTAGTTACCTGTGGACAGGTTCGATAAACCTCCATTTTCGGAAATTAGGCACAATATCTTTTTTCATCATTGGACAATTTATATATCGCAATGTACTTTAATGACACATTCTTTTCTATTATATGAAAATATAAATATGATTTTCTTGCGATTTATCCATATTTAGTTAGAAGAGGGAAGAATATCATTTAAAATAATGGCGTGTGTGATGTCATTCAGAAGCAATTTGTTGCATTTGATATCTCGTATTCGGATTGAATCTTGAGGCATTAGTGGATGCCATTAATATTTCGTTCACTACAGGAGTTTTTCCTCGGTGCCTTAAAAACGCAATCGTCATTCCTTTATACAAAGGTGGTGATACAAATGATCCCGCAAACTTTAGGCCTATCTCAATGCTACCCACACTGTCGAAAATAGTTGAAAAACTTGTAAAAACTAGGATGATGATTTTTTTAAATAAGCATAACAGCATCAATTCTGCCCAATTTGGTTTCCAGACTGCTAAGAGTACTGATGATGCAATTTTCAATCTATTACAACATGTGTATCTCAAACTGAATGATAAGGAAGCTGCGGCTGCAGTTTTCTGTGATCTTACTAAGGCTTTCGACTGTGTTAACCACAAATTTCTGCTTCAAAAATTAGAAAGATATGGTTTCAGGGATTCAGTTTTGCAATGGTTCACTTCTTACTTATTCGAAAGAACCCAAAGTGTGTCCCTTCAAGGTAAAATATCATGTAGTTTGGAGGTTAGTTGGGGAGTGCCTCAAGGATCTGTGCTTGGACCTATCCTATTTTTGTTATACATCAATGACCTAGCGTCGATCGATATTATAGGAAAATTTACCCAATTTGCTGATGACACCACACTATTTTGGCACAGTAGAAATAGTTATGACTTACAACAAACAATTAGTAACGATATTGCTAAGGTGAAAAAGTGGTGCGATTCTAATATGTTGTCCTTTAACATCTCTAAAACAAGTGTCCTAACTTTCAATTGCACTCTGCAGGGAGAACTTCAGTTAGGTAATCAAGTAATCAGTAATAGAACAGATACGAAGTTTCTAGGTTTACACATTGACAATAAATTGAAGTTTAGTGACCATATTGACAAATTAAGGAAAAAGTTGTCATCTGGCTGTTATGCAGTCAGAACAACATCATGGGAACTTGGTAGAGAAATGGCCAAAAGTGTATACTTTGCTCTCATTGATTCACATTTGAGATATGGAATTTGTTTCTGGGGTTCATGTAGTAAAACTTTGTTTGATGTGATTTTTGTCCTACAAAAAAGAGCCGTGAGATACATGTGTAGAGCTGGATTCAGGGATTCTTGCAAGCCATTATTCATAGAGCACAAAATATTACCTCTTCCATGTATTTTCATTCTGGAAACGGTATGTCTCATACACCGAAAATATAAAAACGAAAATCATATTACTACACACTATAATACAAGACGGGCACATAATTTAAATATACCAATACCTAGCTCTACATTAATAATAAACTCTTTCATTTACAATGGCAGAAAATTGTATAACCATTTGCCTGATGAGGTAAAATGTATCAATAACCCAAAAATGTTTAAAAAATCGGTCAAAAGTATTCTAATTGAAAAGGCTTGCTACTCCTTAGACGAATTCTTTTCAGAAAAATTCCTAAAATAATTCACATTGCTGATATCCTGTTGTTTTTGATTTAAAACTTTTAACTATATCCTTTGGTTTCAACAGTTTCTGTAATTTTAATGTGTTTTATATTGTTCACTATATTGTGTTAGTTCTATTTATACAATGTAGGGTTTCATTTTAATACTCTACTTTATTTCTTTATATGTATATATATAAGCATGTTCGACTTTGTCAATGAGAATTTTATTCTTCAGACAATAAAGTATATTTTGATTGATTGATTGATTGATTGATTAAATGGCCGTCATCTGATATGATTGTTCACTAAATATGAAAAACTCGCCATAAAAATCATATTTCATGTTGAATTTTTTATATAAAAATGACAATGACAAAATAAGAAGACCAAGTAGCTGTAAATGAATCCAACACAGGGGAAAAAAAAAGGCGAAATTTCGAACTTTTTCTCGAAATATCTCGATAAATAGTGGTTTGTTCACATTTTTATTGCAAAAATACGTAAGTACCAAGAAATATTTTCGAAAAAAAAACCATCGCATGATAATTGCAATTTGACCCAAAATTCTTCAGGACTGTTGAAAACAAATGAAAAATATGGTAAAACTGCATTTATCATGCGTTGGGTTTTTTCGAAAATTGTGCAATGTCGCCATCTATTCGAAGATCGACGGAACCATTGCTCTCGCTGCTCTCGAGAGGTCCGAGTAAAATTTCTGAAACAAAAGCGCATCAGCAATTACACCATATTTTACTTCCATCATTGGTCGAAGTGAGGTGCTTATATTAACTACAAAAAGTGTTATTGTTGGGTTCTGCCCATTCAGAATTAGAATTGACCATTGTAGCCAACACCATAGGCCCATAATACAAAATTCGGTGGAACTGCAGTTATCATGCGATGTTTTTTTATTTGAAAATTTGTTTTTGGTTCTTATGTATTTTTGCCTCAAAAATACGAATTTAATAATGATAATGTGAACGAACCATTATTTATAAAGAAATTTCACTATACAGTTACAGATTTCACCTTCTTTTTTTCCTTGTGTTGAGTGCATTTACAGCTACTTGCTCTTTTTATTTTTTGTCATTGTACACTTTATATACTCATGATGTGCTTCAATGACACATTTCTATACAGAGTGGGCCGTTGAAAACGAAACAGAGGCTCTGTAGGTCGCCAAAACCGGATTATAAAAAAAATCTGAAACACGTCAACTATATTTTCGAGGGGGACATCGTTCTAAAATATTTTCAGCCCTGCGGCGTTGCCGCTTCTAGAGAAAAGAAGCAACAACTTTGTTATTTCGAATGGAACACCATGTATTTTATTGCATTTTTAGATTCTCCCCGAAGAGCTGATTCCATCAATGCATCACACTTGGGGTCTAGCTGTAATGGTTTCAGGGATATAAAGTGTTCAAAATCGAGATTTTTCAACTTTAACATTTTTTTGTGTCGAAACTATTCATTATTGGTCAAAACGGCTCTCATGTCCCGATCTCAACTTGTGATTTACTATCTACTGACATTTATTTGAAACAAATACAGGGTGGTTCAAGATTCAGAATTCTGATCACCCTGTATCTGTTCCAATTAAATGTCAGTAGATAGTAAATCACAAGTTGATATAGGGACATGAGAGCCGTTTCGACCAATAATGAATAGTTTCGACACAAAAAAATGTCAAAGTTGAAAAATCTCGATTTTGAACACTTTATATCCCTGAAACCATTACAGCTAGACCCCAAGTGTGATGCATTGATGAAATCAGCTCTTCGGGGAAAATCTAAAAATGCAATAAAATACATGGTGTTCCATTTGAAATAACAAAGTTGTTGCTTCTTTTCTCTAGAAGCGGCAACGCCGCAGGGCTGAAAATATTTTAGAACGATGTCCCCCTCGAAAATATAGTTGACGTGTTTCAGATTTTTTTTATAATCTGGTTTTGGCGACCTACAGAGCCTCTGTTTCGTTTTCAACGGCACACTCTGTATAGAAAATTCAACAGGAAATGTGATTTTTAAGGCGAGTTTCTCATAAATAGTGAACAAGCATTCCAGATGACGGCCATTTAATCAAATGTCAATCTAAATTCTAGATGTCAAATGTCAACAGATTGCTTTTGAATGACATGACACCGCCATTATTTTAAATGATATTGTTCCTTCTTTCCACTAAATATGGATAAATTACAAGAACATCATATTTTTAGTTGTCTCATATAATAGAAAAAAATGTCATACATTGTGATCTACATTAATTGTCCAATGATGGAAAAAGAAAGGCAAATTGTTCTAAATGCGATCCAGAAGACAGGCGGAAAAGAAGATGAAATGTCTAGCTTTATAGTGAAATATCTTAATAAATAATGGTTTGTTCACATTTTCATTATTTCATTATCAAATTCATGTTTTTGAGACAAAAATATGTACATACCAAAAAAAATTTGGAAAAAAACCCATCAGATGAAAAATGCAGTGTTACCAAAAATATGTGCAGTTCTATAATGAAATGAAAAATATTCGCAGTTCTATCATGAAAAGGAAACTTCTTAATATTTGACTGAAATATATTTTTTTTATAGGTATATGGATCCAATCTGTGATCTACTGTACCACATAAAGTACATGTTTGTGGGTGACAGCATGAAAAAAGAATTGGAGGCTGTGGTGAGAAGGTTGCGGCCTCAACTTCAATTGAGATTGAGGTTCATTGCTCATCTCACAATAGAGGAAGTTAATGCCTCCTAGGGTTATAATATGAAGTATTTGTATTTTTTTATGAAGTGAAATTTTATTTATTCTACAAATATACAATAAACAGTACAATGTTTTTCTTCCTTTCTCTTGTTTTTTCCATTAACAATAAAATACTACTATTGAAGAATTATCGAGGGCCAAACAACTCTTTAAATATGGTGTACAGCCTCAATTTAAAATATTTATTCACGACTAATATATTATACTTGTGGTTTTTGAAGTATAATGCCATATATTAATCCCGCAGGGAATAAAGACTATTAATCCCTCGCCATTATTCCCTGCGGGATTAATATATGGCATTATACTTCAAAAACCACAAGTATTTATATTAGTCGCAAATAAAGTAGAGTATACTACTCGCAATAATGGCTATTATTCTCTCGGAATGTTACTCCCTCGCCGCTAACGCGGCTCGGTTCGTAAAAAATCCTCGAGAATAATAGCTATCATTATTGACTCGTGGTATAATCTACTATTAAATACCTACATTGAATTATTTTAAATATCTTATTATTAATTTTTAATTTTCTTCAGTACCTACATTTCCATTATCTCAATACTTTTTACTCTAAATACTTTGTAAATCCGTTTTAATTATTTTTTTCTGTGACGGGAAAAAAGTTTGGCATTTCATCTCTGTTGGCAGGTTATAAAATGTCACTTTATGAAAATTACTTTTTTCCCGTGGGAAAAAAGTGAGTACTTCTTTCCCGGATATATAGCACATATATATACTCTGTTAATGGCTTTCGTTGTGCTATAGTTCCGAAAAATAAGTCAATAATACCGTCTCCGAGAAAGAACTGCAAGTCCTTTTATCTTCCATTCGACTTCGCGGTTTCGTATATTACTAAACAACTACTGAATTCGCAATTTTTTAAAATCAAATCACAAAATTGAACTGACAGAAGTGACATCAGATATTTGATTACTTCAAAAGAATGATGAAGATGTCTATGAAACGCAGGTGTCCCTACTGTTAAAAACTTGAAATTTCACGTCGATAATTTTCAGATTTCGAAATAATGTAATATCTTCCCAATATTGATTCGTCCTTCCTTCTGTCACAGAAAAAAATAGTGTATTATACACGGTTTTTTGTCTCCCTCCGCTACGCGTCGGGAGACAACACAACCTGGAGCTAAAATCTACTACTTTTTTCCCTTGTATAATAAATAACTATTAAATCCTTCATAATTATTTCAAAATATCAAAAATGCACATTGAAATCTTTTGCAATAGGTCAGGTCGTTGTCTTCTTGATGGCTTGTGATCATGAGAGTGAAGAAATGCGATTTTTGATGAAAGAATCATAATCTCCGACCCCGAAATTTCTCAAATTTGACCTTGATCGATATATCTGGCCTCACGGTGGTCCAAAATACTTATATTTTTCATTATTGTTAGAATAAATAGATAAGAAGAATACATAAATCATAAAATTTGATTTAATAACTTATTTCAAAAGCTTTTATTTAACTTGCATTGTAGGTATGTTTGTGGAATCTTTGAACTCAATTTTGAAATAGAAATCTTCAACCCATTGTGCTGAAATTTTGTATACACGTTCAGTTTGGATGACAATACACGATAAGGTGTGTCACGTTATTCTGAATCCAATATGGCGGACCATCCAAGATGGCGGAATAGCTATTTTTGATATACTTTTACAATATGGGTATCAAATGAAAAGGCTCGTTGAGAGTAATTCGAAAAATGATGTGACGTCATTATAAATCGAATATGGCGGACCATCCAAGATGGCGGAATGGTCATTTTTAATCTACTTCTACAATATGGGTATCGAATGAAAGGGCTCGTCGAGAGTAATTCGAAAAATGATGTGACGTTATTCTGAATCCAATATGGCAGACTATCCAAGATGGCGGAATAGCTATTTTTGATATCCTTTTACAATATGGGTATCAAATGAAATGGCTCGTCGAGAGTAACTCGAAAAATGATGTGACGTCATTCTAAATCGGATATGGCGGACCATCCAAGATGGCGGAATGGTAATGCATTTTCAATATACTTCTACAATATGGGTATCAAATGAAAAAGCTCGTTGAAAGTATATCGAAAAATCCAGCTAGCGATAACTAAAAATTGAATAATAAATCAAAAGTAAAAAAAAATTAAAAAAAAGCTTTTATTTAAACGCTCTAAAAAGAAAAAAATAATTTTTTCCTCAATAATTTTAACTATCAACTTATAACCTCATTATACACAATTTATGATCATAAAAGCTTGTCGCGATGATCAATATTGAATTAAATTGTAATTTTAAAAATGTTATCTCAGCAGATTTTACATAATAAAATAAGTACTAGTTCATTCACACAAGTGAATCGCGCGACAAACTTTTATGATCATATAAATTGTGTATAATGAGTTGATAGTTATAATTATTGAGAAAAATTGTATTTTCTTCTTTTTAGAGCGTATAAATAAAAGCTTTTTATCAAAAAGTTTTTTTTAACTTTCAATTTATTGTTTGTTATATTATCACTGATAATGCGCCAGAATCAGGGGACAGTGAGAATGGATTCAATCAATGATATGCGGCGCCTTTATGTATATTTGACAAAAAATCCATTGTAAGATATTGGGGTAAAAACAATGCAAAGAAATAAGGAGACAGCATGATTTCAATCTATGATATACTTTGACAAAAAATTCATAGAAATATATTTTTTCCAATGAAAATGAGGGATTACCCGTTTGCTCTTTGAATTTAAGGGTGACGATTGGGTTAAATAAACAGGTGACAGGTGATATAATTACTTTATTTTTATTATACTACTGCTAGGCACCCTTGTTGATGAAAACAACTGTTGTAACAAGATATTTTATTTTTCTTAAATATATCAAATATATTTTCTATACCCATTAATTATTTCAAGTACTCTCAAATATCTTTCAAATACCTCCATTACTCATAAATACCAAATACTTTGAATATGGTGTACACTTTTATGGACGTTGTTTGCCTCTGGAGAATTATGAAAAGGAGTTAAAATTCAACTCATCATTTTAGAAACAACATTTTTATCACAGTCAATTATTGAATAAACTTAGAATTGTTCACAGGATGAAAAATTAACAAGTTTTCATTGAAATCAATGAGTGTTCTTATTCACTGTCTTCTTCATCATCACTTGAACTTGGAAAATCTGGGAGAGCTGAAAAAAAGTAAATCCCCTTTATCAAATAATATTTTCATAACCAATTGAATTTTAGGACTGGAATTTAGTAGCAAATTAAATGATTTCCATGTATTTTGAAAACCTACTATTCCTATTTTGCTGCTTCAATTGCTCCTCTTCAATGTACTTATTCTGAGCAGCAACAACAGATGTACTGTCTGTGCAACTAGAATATATATCCAACAGTTCTTGATTCAGTTCTACAAATGAATGCCCCCATGAAAACTTATTCATATAAAACAGAGCAGAACTCTTGAATCCTGTTATGTACATGGTAGCAGCAATAGCTTCAACACAGCTCAGCTGATAAGGTTTCCCATAATTAATGGGGTTAGTTGCCACAAGGAAGGGCAAAAGCCTGCCATGAGTGGCTTTCAGGGCTCCCAGAGGAGTCTCATCGATCTTGGCCCAAGAACAGTCAACTACTGCCACACCTTTGGTCATGATGATTTCTCTGTCTTCAGGGCTAACACACTTTTTAGCAACTGGGGTGAGAACAATGCCTGGGAAGCGCTGTTTGATTTTCAAGCTCTTTATTAGCTTCATCCTTTCAAGCTTGCGACCAGAACATTTCTTTGGGTCACACTGGTTGAAGTCCCACATAGCGACCGTGTATGTTGGTATTTCGTCTTCTTCATCTGAAAAGTTGATATTAAACTTGTTTGAAAAATAAATCACTTGTGAATAGATCACCTGAACTTGAAGAGTTTGAACTAGATGTTTCATCACTAGCAGCAGGAGTATCCAGTTTACATTCTCCTAGCTTAGTTTCCAAATCATTCATTTTGTTGTTTATTTTGGAAATAAAATAGGTTAATCCGTTATCCGACTACATCTTCTCATTTTAAGGACGCAGACAGCAGAACAAACTGTCAAACTTGGTGCTTCCACTTTTTGCAAAGAAACGAGAACTTCGCGACAGTTGTACTCTGCATTCTAGCTTCCAACATAACTTAATATAAGGAAGTAGAATATCTAGGGAACTTCCTTTCTGCATAAAAAAATACAATACGTTTCTTCATCAATTCAACCTCACCTAGTCTTGAATGAACCTTCTTTCTAGAAAATTTATTGTTTGAAAAATTTTTTTGGAGAATAAACCAGACAACTTTTTTTACAGAATCTAACCTAACTCTGCCGTAATAAACCTTCATAAGAAAATCAGTAGAGAGAACGAAAGCTAATACTTCTATTGAACAATCAAACTTAACTCGGCTTCTCCCTTCTTGCTACATACAAAGTCTTTGGAAAATAACTTGAGAGAACAGAATTGTAAAAAGTGGCACCCTGAAGTTGTTGATCTTTATTACCCCAAGAAACATATTTGTTTATAACAGGGAGACCTGCAGAGCATCTGTTTCCTAAGAGTCGTTTATCCAACGAACAGCAAGGCTCTGGAATACATTGCCAAGGAAGGTGTTTCTAGTGGCATATAACCTCCAGAAATTTAAGGAGCATCAATTCCTACCTTATTTCCCTTGGTTCTCACGATGTTCCCTGAACATTACAGGATATCTCTTCTCGTGGGAAGCAAAACATAAAAAAAATACCTATATAACCCGTTTGACAGTCTAGATATTTAGCTGTCATTGGATTTGCGTGTCAGCGTGTCGTGTGCACAGTCGTGCGTTGGAAGTCAGAAGGATGGTTGTATAGGGAGGCATTCGTTTCCAGATGGATGCCCACAAGGATGTTTGACTGTATCTGTATAGGATGGCTCAATCCCTGTACTGCAATGTATTCCGTCGGGTGACGTCACCGCGTTGCCTTCTGCATGTTTATGTGTTTATGATATCGAGTGATCTGCGAGATCTGTGGTATCTGTGAGGGTGCGCACGCGCTTCAATAATGGCGCTTCAGTTTATTTGAATTCTAGAAATTCAAATTTTGAAATAATTAAACTGAAATAATAAAAATCTAGGCATATTTGCATAATACAGATACTGTAAGTAGATACAATACGATTTCGTGAAGAAAGTTACGGCTATTCCTGCTGTTTATAAAATCGTTTTTGTTATATAGGTGAAGGGAAGTTGAAGGATATTGGAATATCTATACATCTCTGGATAATCTATCTAAACTATGCCTGGTTTGTCGTGTGCTGTATTTGGATGTAAAAACAACTGGGCATCTTCAAAACCAGACGAAAAACTGACTTTTCATGTAATTCCAAGACAAAAAGACTTCCTATCCACAACAATACGAAATGAATGGATTGCCTGTTGTAACAGACCTGCTACTTGGAACCCAGACAATGGTAGAATTTGCTCAGCACATTTTTGTGATCAAGATTATGAGAGAGATCTACAACATGAACTTTTGGGTAAACAATTGTATATTTTCATTGAGAAAATGTCTTGATATTGGGATGTTTGTAGGTTTACCATTGAGAAAACGACTCAAGAAAACTGCAATTCCTACCCAGAACTTACCTGGCATTGAAATATTAAATTCAGATTCAACAGAAGATATCCAAACTATTCCTAATGCTAATACACAAGTTGATAATAATCACAATGTTTCTCAAAAGTCTACCCTGAATGTTATAGAAAATGAATTTCTAAATTGTCCACAATCCAACCTCCCTCCTGATGAAGATTCCACATGTTCCTCTTATAAACTCAAATATAATGAGCTCTTAGGTGAATTCACAAAATTGAAAGAAAATTATACCAATCAAGGAAAACTCAACAAAAGTAAAATCAAAACATTAAATAATAATCTGAGATATTATAAGAGAAAATGTTCAAAACTGAGTAAAGCATTGAATGATAATAACTCATCTGTTAGAGAGATATTGAAGCAGATATTAACAGAAAATCAAATTTCCTTGTTATTGAAGAAAAAAAATAGAGTAAATTGGACACATGAAGAAAAATCTACAGCTTTTACTCTGAGATATTACAGCAAAAAGTGCTACTTATATATCAGAAACAAACTTCATTATCCTCTGCCAGGACTATCATCACTGAAAAGATGGGCCTCAAAAATTAATATAGGACAAGGAATATTGAGAAATGTTTTGAGTTTTCTGAAACTAGCAGGAGAAGGAATGAATGATTTTGAAAGGACAGTTGTGATTTCTTTTGATGAAGTGAAAGTGAAGTCAGTATATGAATATGATAATTCATCAGATGAAATAGTTGGGCCGTATAGTTATATGCAAGTAATAATGGCCCGTGGTTTATTTTCTCATTGGAAACAACCAATATATCTTGGATTTGATGAGAAAATGACAAAAGAAATCTTGTGTAATGTAATATCGGAACTATATAGTATTTCATATAATGTAGTGGCATGTGTGAGCGATTGTGGCGGTGGGAATATAGGTCTATGGAAGGAATTGGAAATTGATATCAATAATACCTCTTTCAAACACCCTCAGACAAATAAAAATATTTACATGTTTGGTGATGCCCCACATCTTCTGAAATTATTAAGGAATTGGTTATTGGATACTGGCTTCAATATAGGCAATGTCAACATAAATAAGGGGCCCCTTGAGAGTTTAATTTTAGAAGATGATCAGGAACTCAGAGTTTGTTACAAGATAAATGCTAAACATATAGAAGTAGAGAAGACACAAAGACAAAATGTTCGTATGGCAGCACAACTTTTATCAAATTCTGTTGGAGAAGCTTTGATAAGGTATAAACCAGGACATGACAAAAAACTGGCAGAGGATGTAGGGAATTTCATTTGTGACATGAATAAATGGTTCGACATCTTCAATAGTTATGTGAAGATTGGAAAAAACCCTTTCAAATGTGCTTATGGAGTTGATTTAGAGCAGCAAGAGGGACTTTTGAATCATGTTCTTCAAAAAGTTATATCTATGAGAGCACAAGGAAAAACTTCATTACAAATTTTTCAGAAAGGTATGATTATATCCATAAAATCCCTAAAACTTTTATTCAAGGATATGAAAGATGAATTTCAAATTCAATACATTTGCACACACAAGCTCAACCAAGATTGCTTGGAAAATTTCTTTTTTCAATTAAGAAGCAGAGGACCTAATGAGCATCCCAGTCCACTTATAGCAATAAAACGTATAAGAATGATAATGCTCGGAAAGAATCCTGGAATTCTTGAAGCGCATGTAAATACAAAGGAACGAGTTATCGAAGAATATATCTCTTCCAGTGTAATGTTGAAAGCAGACATTCAAGTTAATGAGGAACCTGATGAATATTATTCCAGCTCTCAGAGCAGTTCAACATCTTCATCACAAATGAATGATATTGACGAATGTGAGACATTGCCTGAAATCAATCATGATGCACTAGAGTATATAGCTGGATACCTTGCAAAAAAATTCAAAAAAATTTCACCAAATTTGGGGCAACATACTCACAAAATAAAAAATGAGCATGATTACAATTTGCCTTCATGGGTCCAGCAACTCTCATATGGAGGACTCATTAAACCAAATGATGCCTTTATGAATAAAATTAAGAAATGGAACAAATATTTTGAACACTTCAATAGAACTAACCACAGTGGAAAAGGCATCGTTCGAAGATTGGCATCAAAAATTAAAAAACATTCAGACTACCCATTGGAAATCATCACTGGTTTTTTCAAACTAAGAACCATAATTAAAATGAACTTTCTGAATATGAAGAAAGAAGAGAATATTAAAAGGAAGAGACAAAGAGATGTTACTGATGATAGTTCAGATTCAAATAGAAAAAGAATCAGAAAACTTAATAAAATCACTAGTTGAAATAAAATCATTATGAGAATTACTTACAATAAAATGTTCGGAATTAAATTCGATTTTTCTTGATAGAAATGAGAAACTCACCTGTGTAATATATAACATTCAAAAATGGCAATATAATGATGAAACAAATGATAATGAAAAAATAATTCTATGCTCTACATTATTTGTGAAAATTATAACTGGTGTTTTTTTTAAATGTTAACTTGTTTACCATTTAACAGTGTTATATTTTGTTGTTTCTCACACCAAACTCAAATATTATCAAGACACATTTCAATGAATCTTTACAATCTACCACTTTTTTGCTTTTGCAAGCTTTGATACCTATCCCACTTCCTCAAAATAATTACGTATTGATTGTTTATATCCCTAGGTTACATTGTTTTGTTATGGTTTGTAAATGTAATCTCCTACTATGACAAAAACTATATAATATATATATATATATAATTTATTTGAAATGACAATTTTTCATTGAAAAGGAATATTCTCAGATATAGTACTATCATAGATTAAAAAGGCCACATGAAAAAATTCAAACATACCTATCAAGAAATACATTGAAAATTTGCAATCCATACATGATGAAACTATGAATTTTTTTAGGTGTGTTCTTAAGGGGCTGGTAGAAAATATCTATCCAAGAAGCATAGGCTGAGTCGAGGGCTGAGTTGTCCCCAAATGTATCTCACAAAATTTCAAGTCAATTCTGATAAGGAATCCAAGAAAAAAATCTAACAACTTTCATTCTTCTCAAGGTGAATGGTCCTAGGACTCCTTGCTGATTGTTCAATAGAATGATCTTGTCTGCTTGTTTTAGTTCAATTCATCTTGCAATTAATGATAAGTCAGCTGGATATTAATTGTAGAAAATTCCATAATTAATTTTCTGGAAGAAATATGCTAATAAAATTATTGGTATCTCACATTTAGGTCACTCACTGACACAAATTGGGAAATCCTGGTTCAAAACATAGAACTCCTGTGATATTCTGGCCATATTATACTGAAAATCAAGTGATTTTAGTTATAGAAGCCTCATATTTATCACTTATATAAACTTACCTGGTTTTGATCATTGGAACATTGGATCATCTTCATTACAAAGGTTAAGCAGGTTTCCACTTGAATTTTGATTCTAGTCCAACAAGCATTCATATATTTATATCCTTTATTCATCATTACTTCTGGTGTATTATGGAATAGTGAATGGGTACAGTAAAATTGTACGAATTCAATCATTTTGACCATTTATTGACCATCCATCAAGGGTTTCTGTAAAGGAAGCTATGAAAAGAACACAAAAAAATCCCATTTTGGTATAACTGGTCTTTTAGGGAAATGGAAGCAAATTTGAAAGATAGGATATTTCCGAAATGAATGGACCAAAATGGTATTTGTTCGATTTATGATTTATGTCATTGTATATAAATAAATCCTTAAGAAAATAAAGTGATTGGTAATTAAAATTAATCATTTGTATTCCGCTCACCTGCACGCCAGTGTTCGGCCAATTACCCAATAAAATTTGCACTTTTTCAAGATACAATATTCAGCAAAACTACAAAATTAATGAATTTTAGATCTTTCGACGAATACAAATATACGTAAATAGTGAGGTTATGTTATAAACATCCATGCATCCATCCATCAGCAGAATGATGCATCAGCAGTTAGCACACGTGGTGACGTCAGAGACAAACGACGAGCGGGATGATAAATTCAGCGGATTGAGCCATCCTCTAGTAAAATAAGTCAAACATCCTTGGGATGCCCACGCTTGCTGACAATGACAAATGACATAGACATATTGTCTGGTGTCTCGCGTCAAGAAGTAGCTGTCACTGTCTGCGCTGTAGATTGCGCACAAAAAATTTGGTGTGTGACTTGTGGGCACCGAGCATCCCTATCGAATAATCGAAGCGAAAAAACAAGATCCTATTACCAGTTTACCTTTATTTCGAGCAAAACAAGAATCTACCCGACGACGAAATGGAAATAAGAAAGCTAATAGATCTTCTGAGGGCAACCATAGACCCCAATCAAAGGCAACAAGCAGAGCTTCAACTGGATCAAGTTAGTACTGCTGGTATCCATACTGCCATGCGGCATGGGTATTTCTCTTTGAAGTTCATTAATAATTAATTTCCAATTATCATTCGCCTAGCTGTATAGTCGTATAATGTAACGAAATTAATAATTACTTCGGAATCTCCTATAATGTAAGAAAAATGATGAGTACTTGGGAATCTGACAGCCCCTCATACCATGACCTATCTTTTTTTTCTAAGGTGATATATCATGATACTTTGTCCCCTTTCAATTAAATGGCACACGAACAGCGGGATAATTCCCAACAATTGTAATCAATTTCATCATTGAAGATTATTTGCCTTCTATAACAACACAGCATTTTGTTACCTGCATGTGCAAATCTGTTATGTTCACCTGGTTCCATGTCTGATATTTTAGAACTATTATGATGGATATCATAGAAGAGTGTTTCTTTGAAATGATGATATATGTTGAATCATAAATGTATTGCAGTTCAGCTGAGAATGTTCATTGCTGTTGATGATCTACCCAGCTGAATTTATGGGAATGATACACAATAGCTTATTAAGAACATTGAACATTGTATTTACCTATAGGTATGTTACAATTTCACATTTATTTGATAAAGCACACAATATGGGAAATATAAATACCTAAATGAAATGATAATGAAGTGACATTCCATTAATGTACATTTTCTGATGTGCCAAATTCTAGAATTTATATTCATTTTCAAATAAAATTGGGGCCTGTACCGTTACCTTATCATCAAAAAAATATTACAGAAATAATCTATTTTTATCTGCCTAAAACCTCATTTGGATCCTTGAGTATATGTTTATATTTTTCTAAGGTAGATATACTTGATTAGTTATATGTCCTATATAATGATAATTAGATTTCTATGACTTCATGAATAGGAATTTCATTATGCATACAGTGGAATAAATCAATAACATGATTTGATTTATTATTATCACTTACTGTCTCTCAATGATAACCAATGAAGTGAATCATGATCTAGTACAGGATTTCCTGCCTTTAGTTAAAACCAGTTTTTTTCCAATGTACTACTCAGGAAGACCTATCAGAAATCATGTCACAATTCACAAATACCCAAATATTGAGTTTCATCAAAAGAGAGTGGACCAAATTAGAATCTTTTGAGGGTAAATTTTTTATAAACTCAATGGAGAAGGTGTTTTTTGCAAATGTGCATTTTCAAAAAGTCATAAAACTCATTTTTCAGTGCAAACATGTGTGTTTTTATGAATATATTTCGAAAGTTTTGGGTTTGTCATTGTCAGCCACTTTTCAAAAATGCACATTTTCAAAAAACACCTCATAGCTCTGAAACAATATGTGGTTTTTAATTGAATCAGTTCTCATCTATCAAGTTTGAAACTAAAATTTCCTTTTCAAGTGTCCAAATTGTCCCACCCTGTTCATGAAATATACCATTAAACTCCCTATACAGTTATTTGAGAATTGAACAAATAGACAATTAAATCAGTTTTCAAAATAAAATAATGTCTACTCTACTTCTATAGTTTGGTGATTTTGATAGAGGTTGCTATGAAATTATATATTATATTCATTTTATAGACCATCTGCTAGGTATTTTTGAGTGATACATAAAAAAAATTGAATACAAGGATTGATTATTCCTATGCAGCATACATAATATCTATATTCTTTTCTTTGTCTCAATTAATCAAAATCTTTTTTGAATCCCTCCATAGAATCCAAAAATATTTACCCAACCTGATATATTTGTAACAAAGTGAAAAGTGAAACATTCACTGTCTAAATTCCAGGAGATTTGAATACAAATATTAACACTAGCTGGAGGTAATACAGTTTTTTTAACAAAAAATTGGAAGACCACTGAATGATGCCAAATTGCATTCTGTTTCCTCCTGTAGATTTTATTTTATTATCATAGCTGGCAGAAAAAAAGTTTGGATACAATTCAACTGTTGATCATAATAGCTGAATAATTAACATGAATAAGAGAAAAATATCAACATCCTTGTAAATTTTTCCATGAGTTATTCCATATTTGGTTAGTTCTTTTAGAGACCCTTCAAAAAAACCCATAAAGTCCAAGTTATTGGAATACATTTTAGTTTTTTCCTTTTTACTTTGAGCTATTTACACTCAACTTTTTACCAAACATTATATAGGATGTTTCCCTATATCAGTTTTTCTGATGAATAATAATAATAATAATAGTTATTTATTGAATTGAATACATATGATATACAATCATTATTACTCAGTTCTACTGGCTATTCACCTAGGTCCTTCAGCCTATGTTTTTCTGATTCAATCAAAATTTGTTTTATCATTCTAGTGGTGCCCTATGACACGCCACTGTTTTTTGTGGATTATCTTTTTCACACGAAATTTTAACAATACTTGCTGATGGTACTTTACTTAAATCTGATTGGTTCCTACTTCAAATACAGTGTGGAAATCTATGTTGGAATAAAACTTGTATGTAAATAACAGGAATATATTTTAAAAAATCCTCGGACAGGCCGATTTTTATTTCTGAAAATATATTTTTCATCCATAAAAATTTTTCAACCACCTGTTAACTTGCTGCCCACTGATCAACCCCTTCAAAATTCTTTAGATGGCCAAGTTATACATTGTCAGAAAGGTATTTTAAATCTCTATACAACGTTCTATTTTTTTTTTAAATTCGGCTGAGCCATGTTTACAAGAAAGCAGTGGAAAGATTTAAAATTAATTGTCAGAACTAGATGTCCAACCCGGCTTCGACGGTTGGTGACCCATTTAAGAAAAATAGGACATTTTTTACAGTCATTCTAAGCTATGCGCGTATCTGCATTACATATTTTTTAAATTTTTTTGTGGTCACCTATGTCTACTATCATAAATTTACACATATTTTCATTCTCTCAGTATTTTTTGTTATTTAATATCTTTGAAAATTTCAAGCCAATCGGTCAACACGTTTAGTAGTTGACGTACCGACAGCAGCGCCACCTACCGCGTTGAATTGTATTAGTTCAGCCGTTTAGAAGTTGTGTGAAAAATATAAGTACGGAAGGATAATTCTTACTACCCGGTGTTTTCCCGTAGGAATGTTTGTTTGTATTGAATAGGCTCCGAAATTATTGGACCGATTTGAAAACTTCTTTTACCGTTAGAAGCCGACATTATCCCTGATGAACATAGGCTACTTTTTACCAAGGGAAAATGCTTCATTTCTACGGGGAAACGGTTAATAGGACAACAGATAGTAAGAATTATACTTTCGTACTTATCTTTTTGACATAACTTCTAGAAGGCTGAACCGATTAGGTTGAAATTTTGTATGGGTATTTCTATGGTTTCCTGGTTGATTTAAAAATACAATTGGACGCGGTAGGTGGCGCTGCTGTCCCTAACGTCAACTACTAAACGGCTTGATCGATTGTGTAAAACAAAAACATAAAATACAAAAGATACTGAGAGAATGAAAATAGGTATAAGTATATAAAAGTAGCTATAGACAAGCACAAAAATTTTAAAAATAACGAATATGTAGATAGGCTCATAGCTCAGAACGACTGCACCAAGTGTCTTATTTTTAAATGGGTACACCAACCGTGCGAAGGCGGGCCAGACAGCTAGTTTCAAAGAAACGAGGAGAAAAAAATCCCGAATAATCAAGCAAAATGAATGCCCCATCTCCTCGATTAACACATTGCGTGCCACGTCTCTCATATATGAGCGACATTGAACTTTCCCAGAGTGCTTCGTCTCTCATATGTGAGACACAGATATTTTAATCTGTAAGCCTATTTTTCTCTTTGAATTGCTAGGGCTATACAGTTGGCACCTAATACGGACGAATAGAGAACAAACATTAATATATTTACAAAACTCGGGCGCCAGTTATTTTAGCGTGGTATACTCCACTATAGCTCCTCTCTAAACGGATCAATTTAGAGGAGGCCCCCAGGCAACTACAGATGGAGATACGGTATGCCAGAGGTTCGTTACCAACTCGGTGTCTTCTATCGAAATTTGGTACCTAATTTTGTTTGCTAAGGAAGAAAACGAAAGTTTTTTATAAACAACACTTATACTTCATTTGGAGGGCATAGCAAAAGAAAATGTCAATTACAGAATTCAGTGGATTGAGACCAGAGGCCAATTGCATGTGAATACTTATAGTCGACAATTTTCTCCTAAATATCTTACCTAATTTCAAGAAACAAGTGACCTGGAGGTGAATTGAATTGATTTAGATACGCTTAATGCACGTTTTCCTCTCAAAGATTATCAGGGACTTTTGATAAACGGAGTAATAACACAACAACAGTGGAACAATAAATGACGTCGAAACGGTACACCTCTGGTTCTATCCTTCGTCAACCCGCCACGCGTATATATTTATTCAGCATATTGTTTACTGGGATAAGCATACACGCCACTGTTCAGTTACCCCTCACCCGACTTTTTTTTGTGCGACAAGGAGGGCAGACAGTACAGGTGGGTAGTAGACTGTCTGCCAGAGAAGAGGTTAAGTACCACCCGCATAAATTTTTTTTTATCGCTTGGAGCGCACGAAAGGGAATCCCTATAATGTTAAAAGAACATCGTGCGTGTCTAGGGAGGATAGGGATAGGAGGTAGGTATTGGATTTTTTTTTGAACTTTTGGAGATTATATGTTGTTGGGAATACTTCCACATCCAATGAATTCCAGAGCCTAGCCGTTCTATGGATGAAGGAGTCTTGATAAAGTGCTGTTCGACATCTTTCGAGGTTGACAACGAAAGGATGTGCTGACTGGCCTGTCTAGTTCGTCTGATTGGTATTGCTAGTGAAGGGATGATAGCAGAGATTTCCGAAGAACATTTCCCGTTGAAGTATCGATAGAAAATTGAAAGGTCGCCGACCTTTCTACGGTGTTCCAATGATGTCAAAGACTGAGTGAGTGTGGCGTCACCCACCAGGCGGATGGCTCTTCTCTGGATAGAATCTAAGAGCATCAGCGTAGGTTTTGGTGCTGAACCCCATATGTTGGAACAGTATTCTAGAACAGGCCGTATCTGCGCTTTGTAAATCATGAGAAGCTGTTGAGGTGTAAAGTAGCTTTTCGCACGGAACTAGAATCCGAGTTTTTGTGAAGCAGCTTTTGCGATGGGTTTGACATGATTATCCCATGAAAGAGTGTTGCTGATGGAAACACCGAGCATAGATATGGTGGGCTTGGTGAAGCCAGACATTACAATATCGGGCATACTGAGTTCCGCCTTTCTAGAGAAAATGCAGGCTTGAGTTTTGGTGGCGTTGAATTCAACTAGGTTGTTTGTTCCCCTGGCTGTGATTTCAGTAAGATCTTCATTGACAGCATTGACCTGCCTGCGCCGTGAGTTCTTAGTTTCCTGGGAAGAAATGGGAATTCTGGAAGAGAACGCAGTATGGAGGGTACTATCATCTGCAAAGCTGTGGATGGGGCAAGTTGTTACTCCCAACAGATCATTGATATGAAGCAGGAATAATGTTGGTGCCAAAATTGATCCTTGTGGAACGCCGGAATTGATGCCAATGGTATCAGACGATACACCGTCCACCACCACGTGAAGCGATCTGCCTGAAAGAAAACTCGATAAGAGATGGCATAGCTGAGGTGGTAAGCCGTATGATGGTAGTTTGTGGAGGAGTCCTTCGTGCCAAACACGGTCAGCACCCTCAACTTAGAATTTCCCTCTCGATTCCCGAGAAGGTCTACGTAGGTATTATCCTCAAGCAATCTCGAAGTCATGCTACCCACTGCTCGATCACCTTTCACCCGACTTTTTTTTTGTGCGACAAGGCGTGGAGATTGATCAGATTGGTAACAACCTTCAAGACTGAGAAAGGATTCCGGGGAAAGGAACGAAGCAGGATTAACAAAGAAATATCGCCCGACTTTTTTTTGTGCGACAAGGCGGGTAGGTTGAGCTGATCGGTATGAAACTCCGAGACAATTCTAGTACACGGGTGAGAAACTGATTGTAACGGGATTTATAATAATAACAATTACTCGAAAAAGTATCAATGACTACAATAATGAACCGAGATTAATAGAGATATATTTAGGTCCCAGACGATCTCGTCTCATAAGATAACTAGGCAACAACATGATAATGATATCACTTAATAACTCACTTCTCTTCCCTCCCGTGAGTCTCTGGAAAATACCTTTTATAGTTTTATTCAAGGTCATGTTCAGAAACCGGTTAAAGGCTCAGCAAAAACCACAAGGTTTCCTGAAAAACACCAAGGCCAATACGCAAAAGCTACTAAGAACCAGGTACAAAAACAACAAGGTCAGTATATATGAAAAACAAAAATAGGCAACTCGGGTGCGATAAAAACTCGAACTGAACCAAGACCCACGAAAAAGCTATAGGCCACGAATCTAAGCGTTTCCTTCCTCCAGGTCACTTACAAGACAATACTAATAAAAAAAAACATTGTTCTGGATACCATAACTATTCAATTCTACACTAAACGCAATATTCTCAATAATAGAAATAGGGTAGAAGCGAAGCATTCCCCAATAATTCCGGTATTATTCAGGCAAAATGGAAACCAATAATTTATTTAATTTAAACACGTAAGCATCAAACAAACCAACCTTCATTTTAACATAAAATACGCACAAATAATACAAAAATGTGGTTTGGCCCCCAAAGTCAATCCCCAATCACGGCTTGGCACGCAATGTTTTAACCTACAGACAGTATTAATCAAAATCGCTATGTAAATGAAAGATTCATGAGGGTGGCCCGCCTTCAATTGGTCACTGTATAATCTTGTCTATTATCCAAAATACATTATTCTTCGCACTCGATACGTAAATCACAATCTTGAAAATGAATATAAAATTTTCACTCTCAACACCAAAGTAACACCCTGTACGAAGATCATCCTTTTTCTCTGCGCAGATCCACAAGATCATCGGCTTCGCCCCGTCGCTGCTCCAAGTGATCATGATGTCGGACTGCGACATGCCCGTAAGGCAGGCGGGCGCCATCTACCTCAAGAACCTCGTGTCGACGAGCTGGCAGGATCGCGAAGCGGAGCCCTGCCAGCCCACGCCCTTCGCTCTGCACGAACAGGACAGGTCGGTATGCCCATTCCCTGCAAGCTTTGTCATTTTTATGGAACATTCCTGGCATTTTTAGAACATTCCTGACATTTTTAGGATAATCCTGACATTTTTTGAATATTCCTGACATTTTTTGAATATTCCTAACATTTTAAAAACATTCCTGACATTTTTTTGAACATTCCTGTCATGTTCAGAACATTCTTGGCATTTTTAGAATATTCCTGACTGTTTTTTGACATTCCTGACATGTTTAGAACATTCCTGACATTTTTAGAACATTCCTGACATTTTTAGAACATTCCTGACATTTTTAGAATATTCCTGACATTTTTTAGAACATTCATGTTATTTTTAAAACATTCCTGACATTTTTAAGAACATTCATGTCATGTTTAGAACATTCCTGACTTTCTTTAGGTGTTTGTAGCACGTTTTTTGAATGCCAGTAACTATCCAGATCATTTGAGATCATTGTAGAGCCCTGACAGCCCATGCCCTTCGCTCTGCATGAACAGGACAGGTCGGTATGCCCACTCCCTGCAAGCTTTGTCATTATTATGGAACATTGCTGGAATTCTTAGAATATTTCTGACATTTTTTGGACATTCCTGACATTTCTAGAACATTCCTGATATTTTCAAAACATTTCTGCCATTTTTAGAACATTCCTGACATGTTTAGAACATTCCTGACATTTTTAAAACATTCCTGACATTTTAAAAACATTCCTGACATTTTAAGAACATTCTTGACATGTTTAGAACATTGCTGACATTTTTATAACATTGCTGACATTTTTACAACATTCCTGACATGTTCAGAACATTCCTGACATGTTCAGAACATTCCTGACATGTTTGGAACATTCCTGACATTTTTAGAACATTCCTTACATGTTTAGAACATTCCTGACATTTTTAAAACATTCCTGACATTTTAAGAACATTCTTGACATGTTTAGAACATTGCTGACATTTTTATAACATTGCTGACATTTTTATAACATTCCTGACATGTTCAGAACATTCCTGCCATTTTTAAAACATTCCTGGCATTTTTTTAACATTCCTGACATGTTTAGAACATTCCTGGCATTTTTAGAACATTCCTGACATTATTAGAACATTCCTGATATGATTAGAACATTCCTGACATTTCTAGAACATTCCTGCCATTTTTAACACATCCCTGCCATTTTTAAAACATTCCTGGCACTTTTTTAACATTCCTGACATGTTTAGAACATTCCTGACATGTTTAGGACATTCCTGACATTTTTAGAACATTCTTGACATTATTAGAACATTCCTGACATGATTAGAACATTTCTGACATGATTAGAACATTCCTGACATTTCTAGAACATTCCTGACATTTCTAGAACATTTTTGCCATTTTAAACACATCCCTGCCATTTTTTAAACATTCCTGGCATTTTTTAACATTCCTGACATGTTTAGAACATTCCTGGCATTTTTAGAACATTCCGGACATTATTAGAACATTCCTGACATGATTAGAACATTCCTGACATGATTAGAACATTCCTGACATGATTAGAACATTCCTGACATTTCTAGAACATTCCTGCTATTTTTAACACATCCCTGCCATTTTTAAAACATTCCTGGCATTTTTTTGACATTCCTGACATTTTTAGAACATTCCTGACATTAATAGAACATTCCTGACATGATTAGAACATTCCTGACATGATTAGAACATTCCTGACATTTCTAGAACATTCCTGACATATTTTAAAACATTCCTGACATATTTTAAAACATTCCTGAAATTCTTAGAACATTCCTGACATTTTTAGAACATTCTTGACATTATTAGAACATTCCTGACATGATTAGAACATTTCTGACATGATTAGAACATTCCTGACATTTCTAGAACATTCCTGATGTTGCGTAACGAACTATCGAATTACGAGGGAAGGTTGGAGATTAGTAGACTCACCAGAGTGGACTGTATCGTGATGTGGACTTGGATGTTCTCGTCCGATGTAGATGCGGTAGGCCTACCTTTCAGCTCCTATTTCCTCGAATGTCTATTTTAATGATTCTTTCACTGGACATCCATTGATACACGATTTGTAGCACTAGCGAAAAAATGTTTAACAAAAGGAACCAGTATTTTGCAAGAACCACACAAAGATGCCGGTCACTCGTCTTTCGATGACTATCTCTGTTCGTCCATGTGTCTATCCCACCAACCTTCTCAGACACGCGCTTTTTCATACAATCTATATATACGCGCATTATTGGTACCACACCATAGGCAACCCATAAAGCACAGATAAACAATACATTTATATATATCGATACAGGTATTTATTCCAAATGATGATATATTGATTAAACTTAATGAATTTATTATTCTTATTAATTATAGTAGAAAATTAATATTAAACACAAACAATGGGGACGAAACATACTGCCCGCCAAAATACAATCAGGACTTCGATTGTATTTTACTGAGTTATGGTAAGGGACAGAGCTTTATTATCGGCCGAAGAAAACTACCCTGAGCCGTTTTGACAGAAGCTACTCTACTTATTCCATCTGAACCAGGGTGGAACTTTTCAATTCTGCCTAATCGCCACTTCGAAGGCGGTATTCTCTCATCTTTTATAAGTACCAATTTGCCAATATCTAATTCAGGATTAACCTTATTCCATTTATGGCGCAACCTTAAGGTATTCAGATAGTCTGAATGCCAGCGCTTCCAGAAGTCTTGATTTATCCTTTGTAGCAGTTGCCAACGAGTCAATCGATTCATAGAGATATGCGTGCAATCCGGATCTGGCAATACTGTAATGGGTTCAAGGGTTAAAAAATGTCCTGGGGAAAGCGCTCCAAGATCTGTGGGATCACTACTGATTTCCGATATGGGTCTAGAATTGAGGAGGGACTCAATCTGCACGAGAACTGTATACATCTCCTCAAACGTCAAGGTTTGTTCTCCAACAACTTTCACAAAATGACTCTTAAAAGATTTGACCCCTGCCTCCCATAGACCTCCGAAATGAGGACTAGAGGGGGGGTTAAATCTCCATTCTATATTTTCGTCCTCGAGGGCCCCTTGGAATATTGTTTTGAGGTATTTATATGCTCCAATAAAATTAGTGCCACAATCTGAATGGATTACGGAACAGCGACCACGTCTGCCCATGAATCTTCTCAGAGCTGCCAAAAAAGCTTCAGCGGAGAGCTCTGAAGCCAGCTCTAAATGGATAGCTTTTGTTGCGAAGCAAACAAAAACACAATGCCTTATAAGTTTTGGCACCACGAATTTTTGAGTGAGTCATGTGAAATGGGCCACAAAAGTCTACACCGACACAAGAAAAAGCTTTAAGCTGGGTTACCCTCAACTTTGGTAAATTCCCCATTAGAGGAGGAGAAGACCTTGGCGATATTTTGAAACAACGAATACAACGAGACAATATAGATCTTATTGCCCTTTTTGCATTCAAAATCCAATAATTTTGCGACAGCAAAAATCGCAAAGCCTGTAATCCAGGGTGGAAATTTTGCAGGTGACAATTTTCGATAATGAGGTCAGTAAGCCTATGTTTCTGAGGTAGAAGCAGAGGGAATTTTTGTTCGAAACATAAATCTGAGTTTCCAAGTCTACCACCTACTCTCACGAATCCATTTTCATCAAGGAATAGTGAAAGCTTTCTCATGGGTTTTGAAAGTAATTTGTCACCTTTTAGGCAGTCAATCTCGTCACAAAAGAAAACACCCTGTACATACTTGACGAGCACCAACTGTGCTTCGAATAAATCCAACGAAGTGTAATTATGGAATCGTTTCTCACTAGGATTTCTTAGATTATGAATGAATCTAAGGACTATAGAAACCACTCTCTGAATTTTCAAAAGAGACGAAAACTTATCCAATAGAATTTCGAACGGATTGTCTATGGAATACGACACTAACACAACTTTCCGTTCTTCGATAGCTGCTTCGCTGCTAGTTCGCCTATCAATTTTTGATCGAGGCCAGGAATCTTCTGCTTCATGCAGCCAAGAAGGTCCAGCCCACCACAATGAATGTTCTAGAAGTGCTGAAGGAAACATCCCTCTAGAAGCTGAATCTGCTGGATTGTCTTTTGAAGATACATGATTCCAGCACAAAGGCGAAATATTGTCCTGAATCCTGCTCACTCGGTTCGCAACGAATGTTTGCCAACGATGAGGTACAGAACGAATCCAATCTAATGTCACCGAGGAGTCCGACCAAGCAAACATTTTATCAATCTTTATTGATTCCGCTGTGTTAGAAACAATAAAACGAATTAACTCTGACAACAACAATGCTGCGCACAATTCCAACCGCGCCAAAGACACCCTTTTTAATGGAGCAACCTTGGACTTGGCCATCACCAAATGAATTTCGATATGCCCATTCATATCGGCGACCCTGAAATAGACTACGGCTGCATAGCCTTTCTCGGAGGCGTCGCAGAAGCCGTGCAATTGTACAACCGAAGCTGTATCTAACGACAAATATCGAGGTAGTTGGAAGGAAGACAGAATACGCAACTCCTCCTTGAATCGAATCCAACGACTCAATACAGGATTTTCTGGTTCTTGGTCCCAATCCAAACCCAGTACCCATAACTGTTGCATAAAAAATTTTGCGAAAAATGTAATGGGAACAAGAAATCCCAGAGGATCGAATATCCTCGCCAAATCCGATAAAATATTCCTCTTAGTGCAAGGTCTATCTACTAACCCAACATGATACAAAAAATTATCGGAACTTGGGCACCAGTTCATTCCTAAAATTTTAATTTTTGAAGGATCGTCCTTATCGAATATCAAGTTTTGATTTTGGCAATATTCAGCAGGTATACCGGCAAGCAAGTTGGGATCATTGCTAGCCCACTTTTTCAACTCGAAACCTCCTTTTGCTAACAACGAAATTAATTCATGCTGAACTGACAGAGCTTCACTAAGATCTGCACAACTCGTTATGATATCATCCACATATGTGTCTGACAAGATGACCTTTGAAGCCTTCGAATAGTATTTACCTTCATCTGCCACCAACTGCAGCAGGGTACGAATGGCAAGAAAGGGCGAAGATACGATACCAAAACTCACAGTGTTGAGACGAAATTCTTGTATCGGTAAGTCACTACTGAATCTCCATAAAATACGTTGAAAATCTCTGTGAGATGGAGAAACCCAAATTTGTCTGAACATTTGACAAATATCAGCAGTAAATGCAAAACGATGAATTCTGAAATGTAACAAAATGACTACGAGATTTCGCTGTAACTTCGGGCCAGGAAGTAATAGTTGATTGATGGATTTACCATCACCAGGGGCAGAGGACGCATCAAACACGACTCTCAATTTGGTACTCGGGCTATCGGGTTTGAGAACCGGATGATGAGGGATATAAAAACAACATGTAGAATTCGATGGAGTGGGCGCTAATGACATATGACCAGAAACTAAATAATTTTTCATGAAGGTCGAATATTCCTCAAACAAGGCTGGATCTCTGACGAAACGGCGTTCTAATGACGCAAGACGACGAAGTGCTATCGAACGACTATCAGCAAGGTAGGATGGTTGTCCATCTTTGAATGGCAAAGAGACTATATAACGACCATTCGAGTCACGAGAATGAGTTTCCACAAAATGTTTTTCGCAGAAACGATCTTCAGCTGAAGAAACTGAAGCATTTGGAATTTCTTCTAATTCCCAAAACCTTTTTAGGGAATTATCTAACAAAGTAGTGCAAAGAGAAGTTGTTGTGGATGAATTATTAATGATTTTACCAATTAAAATCCAACCAAAAATTGTTTCCAAGGCCATTGGTTGGTGAGCAGCACCGCCTAACTGACCTCCTAATAAAACTTCAGGGAGTAAATCAGCACCAATCAAACAATCAATATTTGAAGGAATGTTGAATGATGGATCAGCTAACGTAACATTGGAAAGGTGGGGCAATTCAGGCTTTGATACAATCGACGAAGGTATACAACAAATTTTGGGAACGACAATGGCCTCTGTCATCAACATTGGTGTAGATTTGCCAACTGGTTTCAACTTAAGAGTGACCCCAGAGCTGGCCTCTGACGTCATATTTCCGAGACCATTAATTGTGAACGATAATCTAAAACGACGAAGCGCTAGCCGATTACAACAAGATGCAGTAATGTAACTATTTTGGCTGGCACTGTCCAACAAAACTCTCACTATAGTGAAATTGCCATAAGCATCCTCCGCTTCAACTGAAGCAGTGCCTAACAAAACTGTTGCACTTTGCGATTGGATACTTGTCAAAGAAGTGGTCTGACTTGGACCAGATGAAGAATTCTGAGAATTATCAACGATTGGAGTTGTCAAAGGAGGTGTAGCACCTGAAATATGATTCTCAGATTCTCGTATGCGATTTGAACTTCCACCAAAATGAAGGAGTGTGCTATGTCTAGATTGACAGAGCTTACAATTTGACTGAAGGGAACAATTCGACGAACGATGAGAGGGCTGTAAGCAGTTGAGACACAAATACTTTTCTTTGGCAAAAGAAAATCTTTCAAATGGCGTCTTTTTTAGGAAAAGAGGACACTTAAACAAAGTATGGGCTGAATGGCATAAAACACATTTAGTAGCTGATGATGCAGAAGAATTGGTAGAATTTGTTAAAAAACTAGAACTTCTATTATTTTGGCTCGAATTCCTAGAACTACTGGGACTAAAGTATTTCGGTGCCTTTTGTGTATTTCCAACTGATTCTAAAGCTGTACACTGCGATTTCAAAAAACTAATCAGTTCATCATAAGTAGGAATGTCTGTTTTTGCATACTGCAGTTCAAAACGTTTCACAGTCTCTACGTCTAGTTTTTTAATCAAAATTTGAAACATAACAAAACTCCAAGTGTCCACTGGCAAGTTTAGATTTTTCAAAGCATCAAGATTTTCAGAAAAGCAATCCAATAATTTTCGAAGTTTGTCAGGTGCATCAAAATTTAACTTTGGAAAATCTATAATTTCTTGCCAATAGTTCGATGCGAGCAATCTTGGATTTTGATATCTATCCAGCAGCGCGAAATAAGCAACCTCGTAATTATCCTCAGTAAGTGGCAAAGATTTTACAGTAGACAAGGCACTTCCCGAAAGTGTAGAAATCAAATATTGAAATTTTTCAGACTTAGATAATGACACATTGTCATGGATTAATGCACGATACATGTCAAAAAAAGGGAGCCAATTTTTATAATTTCCATCAAAGCGAGGTAGTTCAATTTTTGGAAGTTTAACACTAGGCTGCTTATTAGCCGCTGATTGCAATGGCAATGAAACATCCACTACAGAGGAATAAATTCGTTTCACTTCATAATACATATCATCGAATTCGACTCTAACCAATTCTTCTACTGCGAGATCCCCTCCCTCCATATTGGCTACTTGTCCAACGACTGCTAAATGATGATGTTGAAATTCCTCTGCTATATTATCAACAGCAGTATATCTCACTTCCAAATGTGGGTAAAACCTTTTATCAGTGACAACTGAATCCGCTATGTTTTTTACTTCTCTCATTCGATTAAACCAAATATCTCGTAAAGTACGAGACTGTTTCAACTTTGCAGCCATTCTATCGGTCTAACTATAATAATATCGAATTAATATAGCAATACCATTCAATTAATAGTCAATTATGGATAAATCAATTTTAATCACACGAATGAATGTTATTGAAGTAATAAGAGTGGATCTAAACTGAACTGAGAAAATTCAAAAATCTATTGATATTCAAATACTGTGAATTGTTTTTATTTTTGTAATCGAGTAGCTTCTGTCAAAATCGGAAAGAAAATGGAAAAATGGAAAATTGGCGAAAATGATCCGAAATCACTTGTTTGTGTTCAATACTCGAATGTGATTCTAATAAATTAAACGTGTCATGCTTTGTATAGAGCGGCACGTATATTTCAATTGTATTCCAATAATAAATTTCCAATAAAATATTGCGATGGCCGCTATTTAGTGACGGTGATACGAACTCATTGATATGAGCAAATTGCAATAAAAACTCGACCCAACCGATCTTCACTCGAATGTGAAAAACTGGAATTTCTAATGAGTAACTAGTAAATTTTACTTTTAACTGAATATTTTAAATAAATGAATAATTATTATCAATGAAATATCATTGAAAACGAGACCGAGATTTCCAAAAACTATGATTGAAATAGAACGATAATCATGTGAATATACCTACGATGTGGCAACAACAATTTCGAAAAGAAAATGCGAAATTTTATTCAAAGGAAAACGAACTGATCCGGCTCTCGAAGGGCCATTTATTTATGTTGCGTAACGAACTATCGAATTACGAGGGAAGGTTGGAGATTAGTAGACTCACCAGAGTGGACTGTATCGTGATGTGGACTTGGATGTTCTCGTCCGATGTAGATGCGGTAGGCCTACCTTTCAGCTCCTATTTCCTCGAATGTCTATTTTAATGATTCTTTCACTGGACATCCATTGATACACGATTTGTAGCACTAGCGAAAAAATGTTTAACAAAAGGAACCAGTATTTTGCAAGAACCACACAAAGATGCCGGTCACTCGTCTTTCGATGACTATCTCTGTTCGTCCATGTGTCTATCCCACCAACCTTCTCAGACACGCGCTTTTTCATACAATCTATATATACGCGCATTATTGGTACCACACCATAGGCAACCCATAAAGCACAGATAAACAATACATTTATATATATCGATACAGGTATTTATTCCAAATGATGATATATTGATTAAACTTAATGAATTTATTATTCTTATTAATTATAGTAGAAAATTAATATTAAACACAAACAATGGGGACGAAACACCTGACATTTCTAGAACATTTTTGCCATTTTAAACACATCCCTGCCATTTTTTAAACATTCCTGGCATTTTTTAACATTCCTGACATGTTTAGAACATTCCTGGCATTTTTAGAACATTCCGGACATTATTAGAACATTCCTGACATGATTAGAACATTCCTGACATGATTAGAACATTCCTGACATGATTAGAACATTCCTGACATTTCTAGAACATTCCTGCCATTTTTAACACATCCCTGCCATTTTTAAAACATTCCTGGCATTTTTTTGACATTCCTGACATGTTTAGAACATTCCTGACATTTTTAGAACATTCCTGACATTATTAGAACATTCCTGACATGATTAGAACATTCCTGACATGATTAGAACATTCCTGACATTTCTAGAACATTCCTGACATATTTTAAAACATTCCTGACATATTTTAAAACATTCCTGAAATTCTTAGAACATTCCTGACATTTTTAGAACATTCCCATCTATCTATCTATCACTATTCATCATTCACCTATTGTACTGTTCATCATATCTTTGTAATTCACTATGAAAGTGAACTTTTTCTTTTTTTCTCTAAGACTAAGCTTGAATACCAAATCTCGTTTTCAAACATATTTTTAGGTATTTTTTAAAAAAGTTTATTTAGACTAAGAACTTGAACCGAAATTCATTGTATATTTTTTCTATAGATGATTCTGTGAGGATTTTTTTCGTAACTCTTAGTACTCGAGAAAAATTGCGTCCTGAACGTATACTCACTCATTCCGAGCACGAAATTTAGTTCATACTTTGTGATCGAACCAAATAACATGATATGATTTTACGACTGATTGCCTGAAAACTCCTTTACACGTATCCCGTTCTATTCAGGTCTCTCATCCGGGATAGCATCGTTGACGCAGTCGTACACGCGCCCGATTTGATACGGACGCAACTTTGCACGTGCGTCAATCACATGGTCAAGCACGATTTTCCGGGAAGGTGGACGCAGATCGTCGACAAGGTATGTTTTCTTTCTTCTCTTTGTGAAACCGTCACAAACGATAAGTAAACTGGGCGTCAATTGAAACGTTAGTAGTGAAATTTGGCATCAAGTTTGACTTCTCGTAATTTCTAAAATATTGAACGAATTTCGAATTGCCGCCCAGATTCTGAATGCCTTTTTCATCGTCTTTCGAACCGTTCCTTACAACTACTTCGGAATTGATCAAGACCCGTGATACATGGTGAAACAAAGTTTCGTGCATTTTGAAAAAAAATTCTCTGCCCCCCCATTTTGTCGGAAGACCACGATGCTCATATTCTATTCAGGCATTTCATAAATAGCAACCATACCTCGGGACGTTTTCGAGTTTTTGCCAAAAACTAGTGTGGTTTCCGAAAAAAAATTTTTTTTTTGCATTTTTTTTAAATGGCCTGATTACCTGTATCTTCAAAACGATGAATCAGCCTATTTATTGTCATGACTGACTTATTGGAAATGGTACTTAAATGCGTTTGGGTATATCCTAATCGTCGTAACCTGAAATAATAATTATCTGTACTGAATTATAGTTTATATCACTATAATGATCTTACCAAATGATATTTTCCATTTCGACCCGATTTAAACAAGGCATCTTTAAATTTTTTAGGACCCGAATTACACTGACGTTTTCATGAAAATTGGCAATTGATATAACCTCTATGCATACCTACATTGTTTCAATAATACGTTGTTATAGAAACAAGGTATCGTTGTTTGTTTTTGTTGATGAGATGTGTTGATTTACTGCTCACTAAGGTAGACAACTTTTATCATAGACTGCGAAGTAATAAATTATTGATTGTTTTTGAGTAACCTGGTATACATATCTGCTCCAACGCTTTCCTGAAATGCATAAAAGCATCCATTTATGGAACTCCTAAAATTAGTCCATTTAAAAAAATACAAAAAAAAAAATTTTTTTTCCGGAAACCACAGTAGTTTTTGGCAAAAACTCGAAAACGTCCCGAGGTATGGTTGCTATTTATGAAATGCCCGAATAAAATATGAGCATCGTGGTCTTCCGACAAAATGGGGGGGCGGAGAAATTTTTTTCAAAATGCACGAAACTTTGTTTCACCCTGTATCACGGGTCCTGATCAATTCAGAAGAAGCTGTAAGGAACGGTTCGACAGACGATGAAAAAGGCATTCAGAATCTGGACGGCAATTCAAAATTGGTTCAATATTTTAGAAATTACGAGAAGTTGAACTTGATGCTGAATTTCACTATTAACGTTTCAATTGACGCCCAGTTTATTTCATGAAATCTGGGAAATTCGGATCGCTATTGTGAATTTTACTTTGTTAACGATTATGATTTTCGCTTTGGTGTCACAAACGTTAAACTTTTGAATTGTAATACAAATGGCGGATTTATACAACATTTGCATAGTCCTATTCTTAGTTCTAAGCATAATCCTAGTATTAATTTTTGTCTTAAAGATTTGAGGTATTTATCCAGAAACATTAAAACTTGCTTTAAGCATAAGAGTCATGTGAGAATTCGTGGTTCTTTTTGTATCAGAGATGAGGAAAATTATCTATCAAACTTATCAACATCTGAGCTTTCTCATAATATCATTTTCGGAACATGTAAACAACAATTCTATCAAAGGAGCATGCGCCGCATCCACATAACATAAGCATAAGCATTAAATTCCAAATTAATCAACTTTCAAGGTCGTTTCTTAGGCTTGTGCTTATGCTTAAGACTAAAATTGGTGTGAAAACGGCCTCATGCAAGTACCTTGTTTTAACTTCTAGTTATGATTAAAATTATCATATATATCACTTTATTTATACTGCCAAATCAACAGGCCATGGCCCAATTACAGACAGACAGTTCCTATCTCGGTTCCTATCCTACAGTAAAATACACTACTCACAAAAAAAATATTGAACATATATAGCCTATAACTAAGAATTTTGAGGATATTAAAGAGGTGGAGAACAGCCTTTTATTTCGCTACTAGTAAATGTAAAAATATCTATATCACAGTTATATTCATTTACAGCTCTTTGACATTTTCTAAAAGGTGAGCAAGATTTAACATCAATGTAGAAGATAATATTTTTTCCTTCTCCGTAGTTTTACTTCAGGTACATGAATGTTTATTTGACTAAGTAGATCAGGTACATTCAGTTTATTACTGATTATGTCTGAAACAAACAGCACATCATTGTGTCAACCCACGACCGTCAAGCGAAAGCGGATTAGAATATCGACACTCTGTCCGCACGGCTACCCGGCCCTTATAATTACCTATATTATTATTAATCTTTAGTTAATCACATACATATATAAATTGCATGATTGTTTACGAAATCTGATAGATTTCACGTGTGAATAGGACAGTGATGTGGATATAGGTGTTTGAGGTAGGCACCTCGGCGAAGAACTGTCTATTGTCTCGTCAGATTGCTAGCCTCGGCTATCAATTTGCGGACTCGACTATAATAGACAGTTTTTCGTCCTTGGTACAATAATAACTATTATGAGTGGATGTTTATATAAATTGCTCCAGGTTATAAATGAAAATTTCAGCAAGTAAAGGGCTGAATGGATTTCCCATATCGACAGAAGGTTCAGAATCTCTTCTTTGATAATAGGATTATCATGTTTTTTTATCTAATAACTCCTTGACTAACATTATAGTATCTTCTGCTGTTATAATTGGAAATAGCTTCATAGATCCAATGAAATGAATTTTGTGTTATCGGAAAGGGTGACGTTTCGAATTATCTTTATCAAGTATTGGAAACTCTTCAAACTTAATCTTGCTTATTTTTTTTTTCATTTTTCATTTTTATTTTATCTTTTATGTATTTTTTATCATTCTAAATGTTTTCTCGGAGATTAAATATGCTAAAGCACAAGATTACTAAGGCTATCTACTAATTCACTAATCCATTTGTCATAGTTTGACATTTAAAAGATGTCCTTTGAACCTAGTCTTAACGTGCCTCCAAGTTTGACCTACATACGTTCAGGTCTTAGAGTCAATAACGAATTTATTTGTGGAAAACATGATTCTCCGATTGTCATATATGATTTTCCATTCAGATCAGTGTATATTTATCGAATCCCGACCCCAGCGGTTGGCTGGGGTCGCTGCTGTGCCTCTACCAGCTAGTCAAAAATTTCGAGTACAAAAAGGCGGAGGAGAGAGGCCCCCTGCACGAAGCCATGAACCTGTTGCTACCACAATTGTACCAGCTCGAGGTAAGTGAAATATATTGTGTATTGTTTCAATTAAATGTCAGTAGATAGTGAATTAAAAGTTGAGATAGGGACCTGTAAGCCCTGTCGTATGTGCTGCCCCACCTTGTACTAACAATAAATTATAATGATTCGAGAGTTTATGTAAGTTGAAAATATTGTGGGGCCTAATATACATCCGATCTCTCGTCTATGTTTAACTTTCATGTTTAGAGTGGAAATTTGTATTCATAGACTGTCAATAATCATCAAGGGTTTATTGGCAATTGACATACACTGTAATTTTTGTTTAATTCACAATAATTTATAATAATTCGAGTATTTATAATCGTTGAAAAGTATAATGGGATCTAATACCGATGTCTGCTTTCTTGAACAACCATGTTTTGAGTGGAAATTTGTATTCCTGACTGGCTACGTTTTTTCGTCTGTAATACCCGAATTCTGTGAGGAAATCCGTCCTATAAACATTTCAAACATAAGTTTTTCTGAGAATTGACTATCAAATGACGAAATCGTCCGCCATTTCGTAGCCGTTATCCTCAACCACCTGACATTTCACTGCAAATTCGTATTCTCCTGCCCTCAAAATGCGCTTAAATGAATTTTCATATCAATAGGTCAAGAATCGACAAAATTGTCGGCCATCTTGGAGACGCCATCTTGAACTTGTTATGGATTCTAGTATCAAATGGCATTGTCACCAAGTATTATGTACCTTTCAGGCTATCAAGTCAAGCTCTGATAATTTTTAAATTCCTCACATTTCCTGACTGGCGACATCTTTGTTAATGACGCATTTCATCAACCAGTATAAGGTCTGCAACCTCCAGACATAATTTTTTCTTCACCAAATTACATTTCACTTCAAATTCGTATTGCCCTGCCTCAAAAATCCCCCCGATATGAATTGTCAGACCAATCGCTTGGGAAATAACAAATTTGTCGGCCATCTTGAAGACACCATCTTGGTCTTGCTATTCACGCTAGTGTTAAATGACATTTCCACCGAATAATATACACCTGCTAGCTATCAAGTCGAACTCAAATTATTGAATTCGTCACATTTCCTGATTTTTTTAATGAATAGGTCCGCTTACTGCCTGATCCGTCGGAGCAATCGGTGCTGCTGCAGAAGCAAGGACTCAAGGTGTATTTCGCTCTCACCCAGTACATATTGCCCCTGGACCTGATCAGCAGGGAGTGTTTCGCCCAGTGGATGGAAGTTTGTAGACAGGTGAGTGAGATTAAGCGAGGATTAAGCAGATGAACTTCAAATAAAAACCGAAAGAACAGAACAAACCATATACAGTGTCTTTCATGAAGATGGCATCGTATGGGAAAAACTTTTGATAATTGTTTATTTGAAAAGTCTACATGCTTTGAAAAAAATGAAAAATGGCCTACTGATAGAGGTCATGTGACTTTCGCTACATATCAAGTTACATTTTCTTCAAATCATCTCTGAAAATAGGTTTATTTGCTTGAATTTCAAAAAAGTTTACTTAGAAAAGTTTTTTCTATTCCAATTTTACACTTTTCTCGAATTTGAACTTTCTATTGCAACTTTTACTTCATGATATTTTTTGATATCTTCTAATTACTTAACTGCTAAATTTTTTGTTAGGTACGATTGATTGCTAGCAGAGATAATGATGTTAGTATCATATGCATAACAGATTTAATGATCTTGACATACGAAATATTTTCTACTGAATATATGTCATTCGCAAATGAGTTAGAAAGTAGAGGGCCCAGAACTGATCCCTGTGGAACAACCTGTGTGATGCTACAAGAGGGACTGCGAATATCATTGAGCAAAACAACCTGTTTTAAATTGACGAGATAGGATTGAAAAATTCAGAGGAATGCTCTTATCTCATATCTTTCAAGTTTAACCAGTAGGATGCTATGGTCAGCTACATCCGAAGGGTCTGGAAAAGTCTATAAAAAGTCCACTTACGTGGTTACCTTCGTCCAACCTACAGACGACTCAATTTTGAATAGTATTCAAAGCTGTATCAGTACTCATCTTAGTACAAAACCCATGTTGACTTGATGTTGTGTTTAGTTTAGTTTATTTATTGGCAAAGTATTACACAAAAGTGCTTCTACAGGTCAGATATATAAAATAGAGAGAGAGAACAATTTTTACAATTGATATAAAATAGTAAAAAAAAATTCAATTAGTAGGACAAAGCTTATTAGGTAAGATACTAATGGTAGCAATACATAGTAAGACAAACATCAAAATATCAAAATATAGAGTCGAATACATTTACATATTAATAGCTATTTATATATCAAAGGAGGAAAGGTATCCATTTCCTCCCGCGTGTGAAGTTTGATGCACGACGCGTAGTGGAGGGCAATAAACACACATGGGAGGAAATGTAGCTTTGCTCCCAAGATATATATATGATTTTATCAACGAACGCATTTTTCAAAGCATCATTCATTGTGTGTTGTGCTTCAGGCGGTCTATCTCTCGAGAAGAAGACACTTTCTGATGATCATTAGACATTCCCCTCAAGGGCCTCTATTCGTGGTAGGAGTATGTACAGTTCCTCATGACTCACCCTGTATACAGTGTGGAGACTTTAACTGGAATAAATTCGTTACCATGGTGAATATTTTTTCTGAAAATTTCCCGCATACGCCAACGATTTTATGTATTTATCTACCTTTTGCAAGCGATATCGAGAATATATCCCTCCAGGGGTAGCTGAAACCACCCTCAACATGATCTTTTCATATATAACCCTATGGTTTCTAACCCCTCATTCGAAAGCTGGCGGAGAGAGGAATCCAGCGTACTAGTCAAATTTTAATTTTTCATTTGTTTAAAGGTTGCATAAAATTTAAATGTAATTTTGAGGGTCAATTTTATTTTGACGTATCAATCGCTCAAAATGTGTGTTGAACAATTGATGGCAATTTTTTGTTACAACTGCTTTCTGCTATTGTATTCCAGTGTTTTTATAGAGCCGCAAAAAGAAATTTATTTTTTTGCCGTATTCACAGTTTGAAACAAAATTTTATTGCAAACTGGTAAAGAGGCTCTATATCACTGTCACTAGAAGTCGGGATTTTTATAGGAATTGGAAATTACATTTCGATTTTATGCGACCCCAAACGTACCGCAAACTGGAATATGATCGGTACGCTGGATTTCTCTTTCAACCAGCTTCAAAATAAGGGGTCGCAAGCTATAGGGTTACATTTGAAAAAAACATGTTGGGGTTGATTCCAGCTACTTCTGAAGGGTTATATTCTCCATATTGCTCCATAAATGCAGGTAAATACATTTAAACGTCCACTGTCTCGCGAATTGTTGTGAAGTACCCTTCACATCCTCTACGAGGTGCAACTGATTTTATTACTATTAATTATTGCAATCTCTATTTTTTATGCTGATGTTATTTTATTCGCGAATAAGCTTGCTGCCAAATGTTCTACATACCTACCATTTTTGCATGTCATTTTTCTATTGGTCAATTACCATCACGCGACGGCGTCTTGGTGACACTTAGGCGTCTTTATGCGTCAGCTATCAAATAGGAGTTTGTTCGAAATAAAGGTAGATTATCATTTGACACCGCACTCAATGTAATTCCTGTATGCCGAGAATGTCAAGCGGCATTTTGTGGTAACTGTCGCAAGTTTTTTTGAATACATTTTTTGTGGAACCAGAGATCAGTTGTGTTTTCTTGATTCTTCCAACCCCAACTACAACAGAATTTTCAGAAAAATCATTCACTTTCCCAGTAGCGAATTTATTCCAGTTAAAGTCTCCACCCTTTATATAACTCCCCAGGGGGGATATATGAACTTTTTTCACTATTTTTGTTCCTAGAATATGTGGTTGAAATCTTTCTAAGATATTTCGGGACACCCTATACAAAAGCATTGTCTTGGCTGGTTTAAGACAGTGTACAAAAGTGCCAGTATCAAAGGACTTATTTATAAAGAGCTATCCCTTAGGTGGTGGAACGTCCCGTGCCGCCCGCCGCTCTGCAACCCGACGAGGACGAGCGGCCCGACCTGCCGTGGTGGAAGTGCAAAAAGTGGGCGTTGCACGTGCTGTACAGGATGTTCGAGCGCTACGGCAGTCCCGGCCACGTCACCAAGGAGTACAACGAGTTCGCCGAATGGTATCTGCAGACGTTCAGCTCCGGCATCCTAGAGGTCAGCTTCCAATCCGACACTTTTTTTTTTTTCGTTGTATGAACACCTTTTATCTACAAACTTGAAAAAATGACAAGGCAAGACACTTTCTTTCAGTTTCCTACGTTACTACGACACCTTGTGCGAAGCAGTGCGCGAAGTAAAACGAAGTACATACTTCGCGCATTGTATGTAAACTAAACTGGGCGTCAATTGAAACGTTAATAGTGAAATTTGGCATCAAGTTTGACTTCTCGTAATTTCTGAAATATTGAACGAATTTTGAATTGCCGCCCAGATTCTGAATGCCTTCTTCATCGTCTTCCGAACCGTTCCTTACAGCTTCTTCTAAATTGATCAGGACCCATGATACAGGGTGAAACAAAGTTTCGTGCATTTTGAAAAAAATTTCTCCGCCCCCCCATTTTGTCGGAAGACCACGATGCTCATATTTTATTCGGGCATTTCATGAATAGCAACCATACCTCGGGACGTTTTCGAGTTTTTGCCAAAAACTACTGTGGTTTCCGAAAAAAAAAAAAATGTTTTTGTATTTTTTTTAAATGGACTAATTTCAGAGGAGTTCCATAAATGGATGCTTTTATGCATTTCAGGAAAGCGTTGGAGCAGATATGTATACCAGGTTACTCAAAAACAATCAATAATTTATTACTTCGCAGTCTATGATGAAAGTTTTCTACCTTAGTGAGCAGTAAATCAACACATCTCATCAACAAAAACAAACAACGATACCTTGTGTCTGTAACAAGGTATTGTTGAAACAATGTAGGTATGCATAGAAGTTATATCAATTGCCAATTTTCATGAAAACGTCAGTGTAAATCAGGTCCTGAAAAATTCGAAGATGACTTGTTCAAATCGGGTCGAAATGGGAAATATCATTAGGTAAGATCACTATAGTGATATAAACTATAATTCAGTACAGATAATTATTATTTCAGGTTATGACGATTAGGATATACCCAAACTCTTTGAGTACCATTTTCAATGAGTCAGTCAAGACAATAAATAGACTGATTCATCGTTTTGAGGATACAGGTAATCAGTCCATTAAAAAAAATGCAAAAAAAAAATTTTCCGGAAACCACTGTAGTTTTTGGCAAAAACTCGAAAATGTCCCGAGGTATGGTTGCTATTTATGAAATGCCTGAATGAAATATGAGCATCGTGGTCTTCCGACAAGATGGGGGGGGCGGAGAAATTCTTTTCAAAATGCACGAAACTTTGTTTCACACTGTATCACGGGTCCTGATCGATTTAGAAGAAGCTGTAAGGAACGGTTCGAAAGACGATGGAAAAGGCATTCAGAATCTGAGCGGCAATTCAAAATTCGTTCAATATTTTAGAAATTACGAGGACTCAAACTTGATGCCAAATTTCACTATTAACGTTTCAATTGACGCCCAGTTTATATGAGATTTTTATATATTAACACTATGGTCTTCAATCGAGCAAACATCCTGCAGACGTTCAGCTCCGGCATCCTAGGAACAGCTTTCAATCCGACACTTTTCTTTTTCTTCTTTTTTTCCTTGTTGTATGAACAACTTTTTTTCTACAAACGTGTCAAAAAATGACAAGGCGAGACACTTTTTCAGTTTACTACGGTACTACGACACAATGTTTTTTTTATCGCTTGGAGCGCACGAAATGGAATCCCTATAATGTTCAAAGAACATCGTGCGTTCCTAGGGAGGATAGGGACAGGAGGTAGGTATTGGAATTTTTTTGAAGTTCTGGAGATTATATGTTGTTGGGAATATTTCCTCAGGCAATGAATTCCAGAGCCTAGCCGTTCTATGGATGAAGGAGTTTTGATAAAGTGCTGTTCGACATCTTTCGAGGTTGACAACGAAAGGATGTGCTGACTGGGCTTGTCTAGTTCGTCTGACTGGTATTGCTAGTGAAGGGATGATAGCAGAGATTTCCGAAGCACATTTCCCGTGGAAGTATCGATAGAATAGTGAAAGGTCGCCGACCTTTTTACGGTGTTCCAATGATGTCAAAGAGTGAGTGAGTGTGGCGTCACCCACCAGGCGGATGGCTCTTCTCTGGATGGAATCTAAGAGCATCAGCGTATGTTTTGGTGCGTGAACCCCATATGTGGAAACAGTATTCTAGAACAGGCCGTATCTGCGCTTTGTAGATCATGAGAAGCTGTTGAGGTGTAAAGTAGCTTTTCGCACGGAGCAAGAATCCGAGTTTTTGTGAAGCAGCTTTTGCGATGGATCTGACATGATTATCCTATGAAAGAGTGTTGCTGATGAAAATACCGAGCATAGATATGGTGGGCTTGGTGGAGATGGTGGAGCCAGACATTACAATATCGGGCATACTGAGTTCCACCTTTCTAGAGAAAATGCAGGCTTGAGTTTTGGTGGCGTTGAATTCAACTAGGTTGTTTGTTCCCCAGGCTGTGATTTCAGCAAGATCTTCATTGACAGCATTGACCTGCCTGCGCCGTGAGTTCTTAGTTTCCTGGGAAGAAATGGGAATTCTGGATGAGAACGCAGTATGAAGGGTCATCTGCAAAGCTGTGGATGGGGCATGTTGTTACTCCCAACAGATCATTGATATGAAGAAGGAATAATGTTGTTGTGAAAAATATGGTGAAACCTTAGCCGTGGCACTTGATATCTCCAAAGCATTCGATCAGTCTGGCACCACGGACTCCTCGCCAAGCTTCCATCTTATGGCTTGCCTCCCCAGCTATGTTCTCTGCTAGCTAGTTTTCTCTCAAACAGGTCTCTCCATGTAGTGGTCGACGGAGTTTCATCTGACTCTCTTATCATAAATGCTGGAGTTCCGCAAGGATCAATTCTAGCACCAACACTATTTCTACTCCATATCAACGATTTTTTGGAAGCAACTTCATGTCCAGTACACAGCTTCGCGGATGATAGTACCCTCCATACCGCCTTCTCTTCCAGGGCTCCAATTCCAGTCAGGCAAATCAGAAACGAACGATGGAGAAATGTTGACAACATAAATATGGACTTGGCAACAATTCTCGAATGGGGAGCCAATAACTTGGTAGATTTCAATGCAAAGAAAACACAAGCATGCCTTTTCTCTAGAAAAGCCGATCTCACTGTGCCCAACATAAGCTTGTCAGGAGTAACCATACCTTTGAAGACATCCATTTCGATGCTTGGTATTACTATCAGCAATAACCTTTCTTGGGAAGATCACGTCGTGAGATCAATTGCTAAAAGTGCATCACAAAAACTTGGTTTTCTGTTTCGGGCCAGGAGCTATTTCACTTTCAGTCAGCTACTTATGATCTATAAGGCACAGATCCGACCTGTCCTAGAATACTGTTCCCATATTTGAAGTGCAGCACCCAAACTTACCATGAAACTGTTGGATTCTGTCCAAAAAAGGGAAATTCGTCTCGTGGGTGATGCCTCGCTCACAAACTCACTCACTTCTCTGGAACATCGTAGAAAAGTTGGCGATCTGGCTCTATTTTATAGATATTTCCATGGACAATGCTCTTCTGAAATATCAACAATTGTTCCTAGCTTGGCAGTTCCCGCGAGATTATCCAGTCGAGTTGAAGCTTCGCACCCCTTCGTGGTCACTTTGGAGACCTGCAGAACATTGCTTTCCAAAGACTCGTTCATCCAACGAACAGCGAGGCTCTGGAACACATTGCCAAGGGAGGTGTTTCCCGAGGCATGTAACCTCCAGAAATTTGAGAAGAACACCAATTCCTACCTCATTTCCCTTGATTCTTACGATGTTTTCTGAACATTACATAAATAAATAATGAAAAAAATTTGCGCAGGTGTTACTGCGCGTGCTCGACAGCTACCGAGGCGGGCATTGGGTGCCGCCTCGCGTCCTCCAACAAACTCTCAACTACCTCAACCAGGCCGTCTCCCACGGTCACACCTGGAAGATACTCAAGCCGCACATGCCCGCCATCATACAGGACGTCCTCTTCCCGCTGATGAGCTACTCGGCCGAGGACCACGAGCTGTGGACGGTCGATCCGCACGAATACATTCGTGTCAAGTTCGGTGAGTGGGCGTTAGTTAGGGTCACTTGATGCAAACTGACGTATTTGTCATCTAACAGGGTACGGACAGATCATAGCTCCTTTCTCTTTCAATCATCTAGTGACTTTGGTTTCGTGTATTGGCGTCCCTGACATGACATTGCTGTCACGTCACATTCATAGGCGTTAAAAGAGATCTTACAATATTTTAATTTCATACTTGATCTTGATATGACATTATTCAATTCTGTTTTGGAAGGATGGTAAAATGTGCTGCGTTAGGCTGCATCAATAATGACGTTATATATGGTTGTAAATAAATACTTTTGAACGTTGACGTGTCTCGCGAATTTTCAGAAAAATCCTTCACTCTGTCAGTAGTCTCTACCTTGTATATTAACCTATTATCACATTCCAAACAAACACTGCTACATATCAAGTTCGTGATATTAAATACAAGTTTCCAAACAATACCTGAGTTACAAGAAACCTAACAAACCTTGACTTTTTATAGGTGCTAGAAAAAAAATCTCTAAACTTTAATGCTCTGTGTATGGGTAAGGAAGCGTTTGCGGACACATATTTATACGAAGAAAAAGTTGACCAGAAAAATATGTCCCTAGAATATAATAATAATAATCTTTATCATTCATAAACAGAAATGTTTCTTGGGGTAATAAAGACAATCAATCAATATATGTTTATAGCAGGGAAAATTATGAAAGAGTAACTAAAAATAAAATAAAATTAAATGATCAGATGATCATTTTTAAATCATATACACAGTACATATAAAGTTGTTTCTTCTAGAAACCATTGAATATTAGTTCTTGAATTGATTTAGGATGATATAAGAGAATCAAAGACATAAGTATATTTTCAGTTCTTTTTTGAATTTCTCAACACTTAATTTTTCTTCATACTGGCAGGTAATTCATTATAGAGAATTGTTCCATTGTATAAAATAGATCTTTAACCCATATCTGATTAATTTTGATGAGAGTTAACATATCTTTTTGTCTGGTTATGTGTTGGTGTTTATGACTATTGACTTCAATATGAAATATACACCTCAATGAAAGTCATACACCTCAATGAAAGTCACCTTGAGGCGTGAGTATCTCAAAAAGGCCTGGAATCGCCGAATCTGGCCCAGTGGTGCTTTTGTCTCGTTTTTCCAGAAGAAGAGGATTCCAGCAAAGGAGAAGGACCCTCATTCACAAATGATATCTCAACTAGATGCCCAGAATTGAATGCAAATTATCGTACAAATCACCCTGTAAATATTGTAAATTTTAATGATTTTAATATTTTGGACACCACTGGCCTAACAAACCAAAATGATATCAGTTTTAGTAATGTTCTAACCAATAACTCTAATACAAGATGTTCTAGTACAGTAACGTCCGGTCACCAAGTACCTGGAAATAATTATCCTCTATATGATGTAAATTATTTAGACTTAGGATATGATGCTCATAACCCAAGAATGTGTTCACCTGAAAAAAGTAATGCTGTAATCCCTGCAAGAAGTACCTCTGTTACTGATAGCTCGCATGTACAGGAGAGGGTAAGTCAGCTAAAAAGTAAGAATCAAGATATTTTATATCAACATACAGTGTATGAGAAATAAATTAAACATACTAGAGCTATTCATACTTAAACATGATATACACATCCTTGCTCTTTCTGAGACTTGGCTCCAACAAGGGGAAATTATAGTGTTACCTGACTTTAAGCTCATCTCAGGTTACACTAGAAAATCACATGTATGTATTTTCGCGAGAAATCATATATGCCTTAAACCAATAAATGTTGATGATCTGTGTTCTGACATTGACGCTGAATTTGCATGTAGTCGGATTGTAAACAATGGGACTATTATTGTCTCTACTTATCGTTCTCCAAATGGCAACAGTGAGCTGTATTTGAATAAATTAGATAGACTTCTAGATGAAAAGCTTAATAATAACTCAAAAGTCATTGTTTTAGGAGACTTCAATTTCAATTTTAAAACTAATGATAGCTCTGTAAGGGACTACAGAGACGGAAACTAGCAGAACTAGAGTAGACAACTTATTCACAAACCTACAGAAAGGTTCATTTGTATTAAAGGTAATGGAACCATTCATGTCAGATCATAATGCTCGATCCTAAAAATAAATAACAGTGCCAAAGCTCCTGTTAGCACTTTTGTCTGTCGTCCTATGACTAGCAGAGCAGTGGACAATTTTTTAACTGAAGTAAGTAACACAAACTGGAATTTTTCTTATTACACTGCACAAGATCAGGCCCATTGTATCACAAATATTCTGTCAGACATTAGCGCACGCTGTTTTCCTGAGAAGAAGGTAAGAGTGAGGGATAACAGTCACATCAAAAATATTGAGAATACTCATAACTTTAAATATCTGAAATCTAAGCTGGATGCAGCTCAGACAATATTTGATGTCACAAAATCTAAGGAAAGTCTTCAATTATTGGGTTTCTTGAAGAAAGAATATCGGGAAATGATCAACATTGAGAAGATTAAACTTAACAGCAAAAAAATTTCAGAATCAGATAACATTCAAAAAACCGCTTGGAATATCATAAATGTCAGCCTAGGTAGAAATAATACTTCTTTTGACAGCAGTATATCTGCTAAGGAATTTGCACAATTCTTCCAGCATGTTATGAAAAATCTAATTGAGAACTGTAAAATTGATGACAGATCCGATAATCTCAACTTTAGTGATTTTCTTAATAAAATCCCTGCAAATCATAAGACATTTTATCTGCATCCAACAGATGCACATGAGGTTCGCTCTATTGTTGGAAATCTTAAGAACTCCAAGTCAAGGGATTGTTATGGTTTAAATGCCAGTCTATTAAAAATAGCTGTTGACATACTAGATCAGCCAATTGCAACTCTTATAAACACATGCATGAACAATGGTTATTTCCCAGATATATTTAAAATATCTAGAGTATCACCAATTTATAAAAAAGGAGATATGAATTTACCAGCTAATTATAGACCTATCTCTATTATACCTATAATAGACAAGATTTTTGAAATTATCCTAAAGATACGACTCATAACTTTCTTTGAAAAAAACAATCTGATCTGTGATAATCAGTTCGGTTACAGAACTGGGAAGTCCACTATTGCCGCAGTTTGTGCGCTCTGTGACATCATATTAGATGGTTTTGATGATCAACTGAACAGCTTTGCTAGATTTTATGACTTGACGAGAGCATTTGACACAGTTCGCCATGATTATTTACTTTCTAAACTTGAAAGATATGGCATAAGAGGAACTCCATTAGACCTCATCTCTTCATATCTAGAAAATAGGACTCACTATGTTGAGCATGACAACCAAATATCCGATGCTCATACAGTGAAGTATGGGGTCCCTCAGGGATCCGTACTTGGACCCCTGTTTTTCATCATTTATTTCAATGATCTGGCTATTAATCTTGGTCAAATTGTAAAACCAATTTTCTACGCTGATGATGCGACTTATATAGCCACTAGCAAGACCAGTCAAGAATCACTTACTAATCTAGAACAGTCTGAGTCAATTTCCAAAGAATGGTTCTGCACAAACTGTCTTACTCTTAATGTAACAAAAACTCAGAATATTTTCTTTTCTACTACATACAGCAATCACAGCGAACCTGTTAAGCTCTTAGGTATACACTTAGACTCGAAGTTTGATTTCGGTTATCACACTCAAGATCTATGCAAGCGCTTAGCAAGAGCAACATTTGGAATAAGACAATTGAGGTATCAGTTAGATATCCAGCATTTAAGGATGGCCTACTTCTCCCTGTTTCATAGTATACTAACTTATGGACTAATAGTCTGGGGAAACTGTAGTCACAAAGAAAAAGTATTTGTAGTACAAAAGAAAGTTATATGGATCATGAGTTTTAGTAGCTATCTATCTCACTGTAGACCTCTTTTCAAAAAATTATCAATTCTTCCATTACCCTGTTGCTATATAATGGAGTGCCTTCTATTCATTCATAAAAAATGTTAAACAGATGGTGTTGTACGGCACAATCATATACATTCATACTCAACTAGAAACAGTGATGATATCTGCATACCATTCTGTAGAATTAAGAAAACACAAAATTCATATAGATATATCAGTGCTAAGCTCTATAATGCCCTACCAACACAGCTATAAAGGTTCAACTTATTCAGTATTCAAGAAAAAAATACGTGATATACTGATGTTACATTGTTTTTACTCAGTTGAGGAGTTTCTCCTCCACATGCCCTCCTGTACAGGCTGTCCCATTTTCGATGTCCTTACGGGATATCTCGCTTAATTTTGAAGATAGAAAGTTGCGGTTTTCGCGAACGTTGGCTACTTTTTTGTAAAACTCACGAAACCGTGAACAAAATTTCCATAGCCCGCTTCGTTCCTGAGATACAGGGCGAAATTGAAAATATTGCATTTTGAGACCCCCCTTGTATCTCAGCTATCTTTCAACTTAGAGGGAAAGTAAGAACTGTTTCTTTCACAATTTTTCACGTAGAATCCAGTGGCGTAGTCAGATTTTTTAAATGAGCTGTCGTTATTTAGATATAACCCAAAGTTATGTTTTTTTAAATAGAACACCCTGTATGTTTTTCAATATTTGAAACAAGAAAGCTTTGCGCTTTTCAAAAATATATAACACTTATATGATATTTTGAGTATTAGTCCTGTATTTGGGTTATTTTCAGTTTTTTATGTATAGGTTTCTTATCAATAGGCCTTGTAAAAATGTGGCAACACTATCCACTTCACAAATTTTCATATTTCCCTTATTGCTGACACAGTGTTTCGTCACACACTCACCACATTTACCAATATTCAGTACTATTAATTGCCTATGAAAGCTGTGGACCTAATTAGTAGGTAGCTATGAAAAAAATAACACAAATGCAGATTGTTTACAATTCTTGTCACCTACCTGTCAAAGTTTACAAATTTTTCATACAATGGCGAATAATAATCCAGGATATCAAAACTACGAGAAATTAGATATGGTTGGAATATATTACCAAGTTGGCTTCAATGCAAATCAAGCGAAGGACCTATATTTTGAAAGGTATTTACTATCTCCCAATTGCTGGGTATCAGTTAGTTACAATATGATAAAAAATTTAGGTATCCCGAGAGGAGACAACCAAGTAGGAAAATATTTGGCAGACTGAAAGAAAATTTGGAAAATTTTGGATCTTTTGAGAAGCCTAGACCAAAAAGTTATAGGAAAGAAAATGCCGAAAACGATGAAATAAGTGTCCTTGCAAAGGTAGAAGAAAGCAATAATTATACTTCTTGCAGAGAAATTGAAGCATCATTTGGTATTTCAAAGACAAGGGTGTCCAAGATATTGAAAAAGAACAAATATACCCCCTACATACCACAAACTATTCATTATTTGTACCCGGGTGATGCTGTGAAGCGCATTGAGTTTTGTAGATGGTATATCCAGAAGACGGAAGAAAATATAAATTTTGGGCGTTCAGTAGTATGGTCCGATGAAAGCCATATAAGTAGCGCTGGAATATTTAATCGAAATAATCATCGTTATTGGTAAAATGAAAATCATCACGTTACGGTGGTTCGCCAACAGCAAGGCAGATTCGGCTTTAATGTATCTTGTTTCATTTATGGAGGAAGACTTGCCTATCGAATTTTTGACGGTAACTTGAATCACCAAAGATATTTGGAAATTTTAGATGATTGTCTTTCTGAACTACTTGACGAAATTCCGTTGGCTCAATTTAGACACAGTTTCTTCCAACAAGATGGCGCACCTTGTCATAACGCAGGTGCCATCAGGGTTTATCTTGATGCAAGATTTCAAAATCAGTGGATTGGTAATAATGGTCCCATTCACTGGCCGCCAAGGTCCCCTGACTTATCGATATTAGATTTCTTCTTATGGGGCTATATAAAAAATAAAATATATCACACGCGGCATGAAGATCGAGATTCACTGATGAATGCTACGAGAGAAGCTTTCGAATATTTACGTATGAGACCTATATTTTTACTCCGGTCGATTGACGCTATCCTCAGAAGATGTCGGCTGTGTCTTCAACAGAATGGGCAGCAATTTGAACAATATTCATAAGACATTTTCAACAGAAGAAAAATTAATAGAATTGTTTTGTAGTAGTGTTTGAATTTATTGTTTTATCAAATTGTTTTATGTTTTATCAAATTGTTTTTATCAATTTGTTAATTGAATAATCATTTTAAATGAATACTTCTCATTCTACCCTATATAAATGAGTGGTATTTAATTATTGCGCCAGAATATCTATTCTAAAAGTAGAAGTTATTTGTCTTGACATGCCATAAAAAACTGAAAATTACCCAAATACAGGACTAATATTCAAAATATTATATAAGTGTTATATATTTTTGAAAAGCGCAAAGCTTTTTTGTTTCAAATATTGAAAAATATACAGGGTGTTCTATTTAAAAAAACATAACTTTGGGTTATATCTAAATAACGACAGCTTATTTCGAAAATCTGACTACGCCACTGGATTCCACGTAAAAAACTGTATGAGTGGCAGTTTTTACTTTTCCGATAGGTTGAAAGATAGCTGAGATACAGGGGGAGTCTCAAAATGCAATATTTTCAATTTCGCCCTGTATCTCAGGAACGAAGCGGGCTATGGAAATTTTGTTCACGGTTTCGTGAGTTTCACAAAAAAGTAGCCAACGTTCGCGAAAACCGCAAATCTCTATCTTCAAAATTAAGCGAGTTTTCCCGTAAGGACATCGAATATGGGACAGCCTGTACATGCGAGTTCGATGTTGATATTTGAACCATGGATTTATTCTCGTGTGTCATGTTTTACTTTACTTCTTTTATTTTATATTATTGTAGTGCCTGTAGTTTAGATTGTAAAGTGTATCTGTGACTAGTGTAAAATTCTTGTAATTTTATATAAAATAAATCATTATAACTTTAATCTTAAGAAACAATATTAATTCGTTTCCACTGAGTGGAATTCATTAGTTAACCCACTATTATTTTTTTATATGTATTTATGTATCCCTATCATTAACAAAAATGTTTCTTGGGGCAATAAAGACAATCAATAAGCGTGATGAAAATAACTGGATAACGCCCTAATTCTTCTAGACGTGTTCGAGGACTTCGTGTCTCCAGTAACCGCCTCCCAGACCCTCCTCCATTCCTCTTGCAAGAAGCGCAAAGGCGTGCTGCAGAAGACGATGCTGATGCTGACGCAAGTGTTGACGAACGCGGCGACGGAGCCTGCGCAGAAGGACGGCGCGCTGCACATGGTCGGCTCGTTGGCCGACGTGCTGCTCAAGAAGAAGGTGTACCGCGATCAGCTCGACACGCTGTTCGTCAAGTACGTGTTCCCGGAGTTCAGGAGCGACAGGGGGCACATGCGCGCCAGGGCCTGTTGGGTACGTTGTGAAGCCTCTCTTTTTTTTCTTTGTTGGCCTACTAAAGGGGAATTTTTTTCTGGAAACTTTGACACCCTCTATCTCTGTGGAGGGGAGAGTTGGGGCGCATGTTTGTAGAGTAGGAAAGTCTTTTTGCCTGGATAGTCCAGTCATTACAGTGCAGACTCGATAATCCGAACTAATAAAAACCAAGGCGATTCGGATTACCAAAAAATTCGGATTACCGAAGCAGTTTTTTTTTGATTTTTTATTACGAAATGCAAAAAAAAAACATAAATACAAAAAAGTAACACTAAAATATGCATAAAAGTAAGAATATTATACTAGTTTCCAAAGTAATTTGTAATTTTTGTTTGCTTAACACATCTTTGATTATTTATAAAGGCCATTTATTTCAAGCTTTGAAGTACAAGAATATCATTTAAGGGAATATTATTTTCTTCCTTGTGTAATGTGAATCCCAGATACTAACAAAAAAACAATTAGGGGAATCCCTGAACATTTCACTCACAATTTCTATAGGAAATAAATAGGCCTTAAGGCCTTAAGGTATAGGTTCGGATTATCGAGTACTATGAAATTCGGATTATAGAGTACTCAATGTATTAAAAATGCTTGTTCGGACTACTGAAGAATTCGGATTATTGAACGTTCGGATTATCGAGTCTGCACTGTATATCCAAATAACGGACCTTACTCGTGAATAATTTTTTAGTGTTTTTTTTTTATAGGTGTCTCGGGGGGGGGGTCACTGGGAGTGTATATTCAAAATGGCGACCAAATCAAGCTTTTGCATATGTTCGAAACCTGTTTTTTTTTTGTTAAAAAACGGCTTTTCTTGAATAACTCGGCCATTTTTGATTCTACAGAAAAGTTTGGGAACAAAAATTGTAGTAAATTTTGTTCTCTACAAGTTTGGTCCTCACAATTTTTCTGATAGGATCGATATTTTGTAAATTAAACCTGAAAAAAGCGACAAATTCGAAATATTTTCATTATCTCGTTTATTTTCAACTTTACGGCATAAATGAACAGAAACAAACTTGTAGAGGATTAAATTTTGGACAAATTTTGTCTTCACCTGTTTTTCCGCAAATCGATATTTTCGGAATTAAACCTAAAAAAAAAAAACGACTCATTCGAAATATCATCATTATCTCGTTTATTCTCAACTTAACACCATAAATGAGAAAAAACAAACTTGTAGAGAATCAAATTTTGGACAAATTTGGTCTTTACCTGTTTTTCCGAAAATCGATATTTTCGGAATTTAACCAGAAAATATGTACCCATTCAGAAATATTCGCAATATCTCCTCTTTTTCAATTCTGCAGGTGCAACGAATAGGGCAAAAGTTGTATACAATAAAATTTCTGAAAATTTTGGTCTACACCTGTTTGACAGACAAGCTACCTGCGCGGAATAACCTTTATGCCGTAAAATGCGAAGCATTGGAGATAATGATAATCTTTTGATTTTGTCGCTTTTTCAGGTTTAATTCCCAAAATATCGATTTTTGGAACAAAAACGTGGTAACCAAAATTGTTTAGAATTTGATTCTCCACAAGTTTAGTCCTCTTCATTTATGCCGTAATGTTGAAAATAAACGAGATAATGAAAATATTTCGAATTTGTCGCTTTTTTCAGGTTTAATTTACAAAATATCGATCCTATCAGAAAAATTGTGAGGACCAAACTTGTAGAGAACCAAATTTACTACAATTTTTGTATCCAAATTTTTTCTGTAGAATCAAAAATGGCCGAGTTATTCAAGAAAAACCGTTTTTTAACAAAAAAAAACAACATACGCAAAAGCTTGATTTGGGCGCTATTTTGAATTTACACTCCCAGTGACCCCCCCGAGACACCTATGAAAAAAAAAACACTAAAAAATTATTCACGGGTCAAAGTCTATAATGACTGGACTAGGAGTACTGAACCTGGACGTTTGGCGGTTTGGCCCTGGGTCACCCTATATATCCATTTTTTTGTGTTCATAAATATATCTGACTATTCCACTCTTGATCTCTAGAACCAATCAGAATCGACCATTTTCACGGTTTCTTCTGTATTCTAGTAATATTTTTTGTTTATTAAATCTTATCGGACTTGCTCCACCAATACAGAAGCCGAATTGACCCCCACGTGACCAACAAACCTCGTTTATCACCGATAAAATTTCGACATCGTGTCTGGTCAAGATTGCTTTGGATTAAAATCTGAGACAATAACCTAACCTACTTTGATTCAATTACTCATAATTCGCGTTAAGGGTGCCGTACATTATGCTATTTCTCGGCAAGTTTGAGGCAATGCAATTTTCTCGCAATTTTCTCAATTTATTGCAAGTCGCCGTACATTGAGATATTTTTGCCATACTTTCTTGTTCATATTCACTATTTTCAGGTTTTTTGAGCCTTCAGTGTACTTTTTGAGGTTATTTGGTGTTTCAGGCTACGTTATGGAGAAAATTTGTAATTTATCAAGATGCTACGATGAATATTACTAAAAATTTTACTAAACTTGTCTTGAAATTGCAGGAAAAATAGAACTGGTTCTATTACGAAACTTGCATGAAACTTGCCGTGAAATATCATAGACGCATGCGCATTGGTCGATTCAAAATTGCATTGCATCCAACTTGCTGGTAAATAGCATAATGTACGGCACCCTTTAGTGAGACATTTTGTACGAGAGGCGAGAAAATTTTATTCTGGCTGTAGGTTTCATGTGTAATTTAAAAAGTGTGCATATGATGTAGCGCAACTGATGGGGTTGTTGCGCGAAGATACGAAGGTCGATGGTTTGAGCCCCTCTGCGACGATATCTTTTTTTTTTATTATTTCATGTCACATAAATTCAATTTATTTTGTTTGAATTGGATACTAATTGTATACACTCTCTTGAGAGCAACCATCTCCAAGATGATAAAAAAAATACTGTTTATCAAAATTGAACATTCCACTTTGTGAATAATTATAAATATGTAGTTAATTTCTAAAAAAGCGAATTCTGTATTTCATTACTATCATTATGTTCTTCTTCGCAGTTTGAGTTGGAATATACTTTAATTATGTTTCCTATTTCTTATACAGTGTCATTCATAAAGTCGGCATCATATGGGAAAAACTTTTATTAGTGACTTATTTTGGAATTCGAGTTGAACGTTAAGTTTTGCTTAAAAAAAGATGAAAAATGGCCTACTCAATCGGGGTCACGTGACTTTCGCTACATGTCAAAAGTGTCATTTTTTCAAATTAATCGCTGAAAGTAGGGTTATTTGTTCGAATATCGAAAAAGTTAACTTGAAAAAGTTGTTTCTATTTCAATTTTACACATGCTTCTAGAATTTGATCTTTCTATTGCAACTTTTAGATTTTGATTTTTTTTTTATTTTTCGAAATTTCCTTTTAATATTGGAGGAATTATTAATTCCACGAAACTACTTCATACCAGTAGCTTTTTCATGCTACTTACTTTCAATTACTTATTATCACTGATTATTGACAGAAATATGATTTTCTTCAGAAAATGATAATATCCGCTTCCAAATTCTGTTATGTTTGATGCAAAGTTGATATATCGTCAAGCATTTAGAAACGAAATTCATTTAAACTGATCATTTTAGTACGGAAAAAATGAATTTAAATGAATTTCGTTTCTAAATGCTTGACTCAAACATAACAGAATTTTGATGTTATGTTTGCATCAAACATAACAGAACTTTGAAGCGGAGATTATCATTTTCTGAAGAAAATTATATTTTTGTCGATAATTAGTGATAATTAGTAATTGAAAGTTAGTAGCATGATGAAACTACTGGTATAAAGTAGTTTTATGGAATTTACAAATTTTTTAATATTACAGAAATTTCGAAAATTTTCAAAAAATATCGAAATCTAAAAAATGTAATAGAAAGATAAAATCCGAGACACATATGCAAAATTCAAATAGAAACAACTTTTTCAAGTGAACTTTTTCAATATTCGAACAAATAAGCCAACTTTCAGCGATTAATTTGAAAAAAATGTCACTTTTGACATGTAGGGGAAGCCACGTGACCCCGATTGAGTAGGCCATTTTTCATCTTTTTTGAATCAAAACTTAACGTCCAACTCGAATTTCAAAATGAGTCATTAATAAAAGTTTTTCCCATATGATGCCGACTTTATGAATGACACTGTATATATATTGTCTCATTCAATCATGAAATAGTCATATATAATACCACAAGTGATAATATTTTGCCGGAAATTTTCGGTGATTGTTACGACAGCTTGTTGCCTAGTAATTTCGTGACATTGTTATCAAAACTACGAGACGTAGGCGAGTAGTTTTGGATCAATGTCATGAGCGAAATTAGAGCAGCAAGCTGGAGTATGTCAATCGACGAATATTTCCAGGAAAAATAGTATCACGAGTTGTATTCGTATGACTATTTCATGATTGAATGAGACAATATATATAAGAAATAGGAAACATAATTTAAGTATATTCCAACTCGAACTACGAAGAAGAACATAATGATAGTAATGAAATACAGAATTTACTTTTTAAGAAATTAACTACCTACTTATAGTTATTCACAAAGTGGAATGTACAATTTTGATAAACAATATTTTTTTTATTATCTTGGAGATGGTTGCTCTCAAAAGAGTGTATACAATTACTATCCAATTCAAACAAAATGAATTGAATTTATGTGACATGGAATAATTAAAAAAAAAAAGATATCGTCGCCGAGGGCTCGAACCATCGACCTTCGTATCCTCGCGCAACAACCCTAACAGTTGCGTTACATCAGTTAGTAATTATAATATCAGTCAGTCACAATAACTTGAGTAATTGAAGAAGATAACTTCAAAAAGGAATTTGAATTCTATTATTGTTGTGTCAGATCGTGCAAACTTTTTAAATTACACATGAAACGTCCAGCCAGAATGAAATTGTCTCGCCTTTCGTACAAAATATCTCACTAACGCGAATTATAAGTAAATAAAATAAAGTAGGAACTTAGGTTATTGTCTCAGATTTGAATCCGAAGCAATCTTGACCAGACACGATGTCAAAATTTTATCGCTGATAAACGAGGTTAGTTGGTCACGTGTGGGTCAATTCGGCTTCTGTATTGGTAGAGCAAGTCTGATAAGATTTAATAAACAAAAAATATCGCCAGAAGAAACCATGAAAATGGTCGATTCTGATTGGTTCTCGAGATCAAGAGTGGAATAGTCATATGAATACAACTCGTGATACTATTTTTCCTGGAAATATTCGTCGATTGACATACTCCAGTTTGCTGCTCTAATTTCGCACATGACATTGATCCAAAACTACTCGCCTACGGCTGGTAGTTCACGAAATTACTAGGCAACAAGCTGTCGTAACAATCACCGAATATTTTCGGCAAAATATTATCACTTGTGGTATTATATATGATCTTCCACAGGTAATGCATTATTTCGCCGAATACTCGTCCAACGTTCTAATGGACGCCGTCAATTTGACAGTCCACGCTCTGCTGTACGACAAAGATCTGCCGGTCAAAGTCGAAGCGGCCATCGCCTTGCAGTCTCTGCTAAACCATCAAGACAAAGCGCAAAAGTTCATCGAGCCTCAGGTAAGTTATCTTCTGATTCTCTGTTCCCGGTAACATTTTAAGTTGACCTTAATAAAAATAATAAGTCGTGTAGACGATCTTGAAATCATTTATCGAATAGAAATAGGAAAAATATAATATCATAGAAATGTATAATGTATAAATAAAAAGACAACTGACTGTGACACTGTGACATATGACGTATTAGCACAAACATAAAACACAGATTTTTTAATAGAAGTTCTACAATACAATTTCATACTTTGTATAGACTTACTTGAAGTTTAAAAAATAAAATTACTAACTGGTAGTTCTGACTGCCGATGCCGCTAGTAAAATAATCATGTTTAGATAAACGGGTTCTCATTGAATGAAGAGCCCTGTGCCCTGAAAGAGCGTAATACAGATAAAATGTCATATACCAAAATGGTATATGAGGGGAAATGCCAAACAATTCCCGAAAACATATATCTGGAAAGACGGATTCTTTACCCTTATGAGAGCACTAAATTGATTGATTGATTGATTGTCTTTATTACCCCAAGAAACATTTCTGTTTATGATAGGGATTCATGAATACATATAAAAAAAAATAAAGGGTTAACTAATGAATTCCACTCAGTGGAAACGAATTAATATTGTTTCTTAAGATCAAAGTTATATTTCATTCCTAAGTAATCAAATCATGCCACATATTTTTCATTCAAATTGTCCTGAGCAAGTATTTTTTAAGATTGATTTTAAACCTGTTTGCATCATGTATATTTTTCAACTCATTCGGTAATGAATTGTATAAAATTATTCCATTGTGAAAAACATATTGTTTGCCAATGTTTGACTTGAATGTATTTGCTATCAAGTAATTCAATTGTCTAGTCCCATAATTATGGACTGTATTGACTTCATTGAAAGCTAAATTTGATATTTTCAAATGTAATGAAGATATTAATGGGGCAAACAGCTAACAGGTGTTTGAATCTAAACTAAGAGGTTAAGGTAAGTCAATACAAAGTAAGTAATTCCCTCACATAATTTTTTTTATTATAGAACTTTAGATACATGTCCCTGATGTTGTGACAACTACATTAAATATTTGTTGAGACGACTCTGAGCATTCCTTCATTCCTTTGAAAAATATCCACTCTACTTTGAGCTTGACTTCTCAGAAAGATTAAACTATGCCATAATAATTATATTTCTGTTATACAGGATAATTCAAAATTCGATGTTAATATTTTAAGGACGTATTGTTGGAATGAAAACAAGACTTTTTCTTCATATAAACGTGTCCTAAAATGCACCCTCTATAACATCGATCAACTCCTCAAAACTGGGTTTACATAATTTTTGAAGCAAGAAAAACATAAAGTGTTTATAAAGACAGGGCCATGCCAATTTTCAGAAGATTTCATCCATTATTTTAGTCACAACTTTAGTTAATCTTTTTTTTTTAACTTATGTGGCTGTAGCTCCGAGAGAACACTTATATTTATATAAAAAAGTCTTATTTTGGTCCCAACCATATGTCTTTGAACTATTTACATCGAATTTTGAAGCACCCTGTATGAATTCAAATTCTTGTCTATCTGTACAATGTTGATCAATTGGTGAAAGTACAAAGTAGGTTCTTTCATTTTTAAATATTCACTTGATATTTCCTTGAACTAGTATAGAATTATACTGACATCACAACAGAAGGCGTATGACGTCAGTACTGGCTAGACGAGTGTACCGCCAAACGCTATGTTTGAACCTTCCATCAACTTGTAGAGTTTTTGAATAGTGTTTTTCTGGAATAGGTATATTTTGTCGAAGCACTATGCACACTCAAGTTGTTACCTATTTGTGAAAGTTCAATGAATTAGTGATACATCCGAATTTAAAGAAATGAATCATGATGTGCCCAAGGCTCTGTCTTGGGGCCACTTCGATTCATTATTTATATCAATGAGCTAATCAGATTCATGACCCCCTTTAAATGTGTCCTTTTTGCTGTCGAAACGTCATTTATATTGTTTGAGTCCAGACTAGTATTTTCTTCCGTACTCGTCAGCATGGTGAAGAGAAACAGGAGGTAACATTTTTCGGGGTCAATTTGGATCATGGCTTGAATTGGAATTCCCATATAGAACATTTGGAGCATAAATTGTCAAGTGTATTGTTTCTTTTACGCAGTGAATTACTCACTGTGGGGTAATCCCTCGGCTGCAAGTGCTTTTTTTATTCAACCAACAAAAAAAGCCATAAAAATATTATGTAATGTAGGATATAGAGCTACCTGTGGACCGTTATTCACTAAATTCAAAATTATGACTTGAAATCCATAAAATATCGTCTAATCTCACTACACAGGCTGATATCCACCATCATAACACTAGGAATTTTGATATCAGAATCCCTAGATAAAGTCTCTTTATTTCACGAAAAAAATCTCCATAATGCACTGCCACATCAAGTTAAAATATTAAAGATGAATGAGTTCAAATGAACAATCAAATCGTACCTTTCAAATAATAGTTTTTATTCTATCAATTAATACGTTGAAAATATTTCAGGTGCGACCTTTTTTCTTTAAGAACATAATAATTACCGATTGTTTATTAAAATTTGTTCTCAAACTTTTATTATGTATTAACCTCTGTATCTCTGTTCTTCTGCAATGGTGAAGTTTTCTTATTTTCAAAATTTCATTTGATTATTTTCAATATTTTATTCTCAGACACAAATTTCCTGCTATGAATTTGCCGAGGAATATGCATATGTATATTATGATATACAGGGTGTTTTTTAAGTACGTGTAGAAAATTCAGGAGCATATTGCTGACGTCAAAATACGAAGAAAAGTTCGTATAAATATATGTCCGAAAGTTATTCGTTTCTGATGTACAGAGTGTCAAAGTTGAATTCTTATTTTTGTTTTTTGTTAATGAATTTCAATATAATTGTGATATTCGAATGAAGTTTGGTATCTAGGAGTATTTTTCAATGACAATATCAAATTTCACGTTAGTTTGTCTCTTTCGTGGGGGTGGCGCCACCTACATGTCTTTTGAGTCTTTTGAAAAGTCACAACTTTTTTGTGCGTACCTGTATCACGTTTTATAGAAGAAAAATAGATTTCTGTAACACTTTTGTGTAAAAAATATATTCTTGGTAGAGGTCGATGCGAGCAACTGTTTTCGGGTTATTGGGATTTGAAATAATCGATGCATTTGATTTCCAGTATTTCGTCGCCTCTTAGTAGTAAATATCAGAAAAGAGACGCCACTGCATTTTTCTTCTTTCATTCAATATTCTCCTACATTCAACAATTCAACATTGGAATGTAAGCAAATAATGATTCTTACTTCTTTGTATCTACTTTTTTGTCCACTTTGAACAATTACTTCAATCAATTCCCTCCACTAACTGTTTTAGTATTAATTTGGTCTATTATTAGTATTGAATTGTGATAACACCCGATTCCTATTTTAAAATGAAATTGAAAAAAAAATAATTTTCCTCACTTGATGAATCAATTTTGAATTCCAACTTCTTGTCATTCCAAATTACTCACACTGATTATCTCAAATCCCAATAACTCGAAAACAGTTGCTCGCAGCGACCTTTACCAGGAATATATTTTTCACACAAAAGTGTTCTAGAAATCTATTTTCCTACTATGAAACGTGATACAGGTAAGCACTAAAAAGTTATGACTTTTCAAAAGACACAAAATACATCTTGGTGTCGCCACCCCCACGGAAGAGACAGAGACTGACAGAAAATTTTATATTGTCATCGGAAAATACCCCGAGATACCAAACTTCATTCGAATATCACAATTATTTTGGAATTTATTAATAAAAAACGAAAATAAGAATTCAACTTTGACACTCTGTATCTCAGAAACGAAGAACTTTCAGACATATATTTATAAAAACTTTTCTTTTCATTTTGACGTCAGCAACATGCTCTTGAATTTTCTACACGTACTTAAGAAACACCCTGTATAAATAGAATGAAGAGACAAACGGAATTACCATAATGATGTCGTTCATCACTAAATACTTGACGAGTAAGTAATCTACACTTTCGGATTTGTTTTTTGAAATTTTCATAAATGTCACTCACTTGCAGGTATAGCACTGATGATGGCTTTTTAGCCGAAAGCGCTCTGCGATTTTATAATAAATTTCACACGAAATATAAAAATCACTTCATTTTATTGATCAGTTTCGTGTATGCAGCTAGTACAGATCTCCACCTATTATGATATAGTCAAATGAACTATCTATCTATACCTTTTCAACTTCAATTTCGGAATCGGTGAGTTATATTTCGGAAAAAGTAATCTCGATTTCAGAATTGATTAGTTCGATTTCAGAAATGGTAAACTCAATTTCAGAATCGGTGAGATGAATTTCAGAAAAAGTCCATTCAATTTCAGAAATGGTAAGTTGTATTTCAGAATTATTGGTAGGTTCAATTTCAGTAGATGAAATCCTTTTATATGTTTGAAATGTTTTCAATTGCAAAAGAGAAGATTGTTTACAGTGGATGAACGGTGTTTGAGAGCCCTATGTTTAATCAGATTGAACATATATGGGGTGCCTTCAAGTCAGAAGTGAAGAGCTTCTTGCAAGAGCATCGCCAAAGGGTCATAGCTGGGGATCCGAACAGATTGCTCATCCAGATAGAATTCAGACTGTGATGTCTTGAGGAATGTGCAGATCATTCAATGAAAATGATAACACCTCAAATGTGTTTGCATTCTCATAATCATGTGCAACGCTATTATCTTCCAGCGATTCGGATGGAAGGCATCTGTGGATTGAATTGAGATTATAATTATGTTATTGAATTGTTTTTGACAAGTTGAATATTGTAAATATGGTTTGTTAATCTCACATACAATTGGAAACATTTCGAACAAATATAAGGATTTTTTTTCTGAAATTGAACCTACCAATTCTGAAATACAACTTACCATTTCTGAAATTGAATGGACTTTTTCTGAAATTCATCTCACCGATTCTGAAATTGAGTTTACCATTTCTGAAATCGAACTAACCAATTCTGAAATCGAGATTACTTTTTCCGAAATTGAAGTTGAAAAGGTATAGTAAAAGTACAAGTACATTCTTTGAATTTTGTTCATTCCGATCATCATTATTCCACAACCAATTTGAAACTTGAGAGGTTAGAACTCACTTTGGTCGTTGTCCCATTCAGGTGAAACAAATCGCTCTGGAACTGCTCACGATCATCCGAGAAACGGAAAACGAGGACGTGACCGGCGTCATGCAAAAGCTGGTGTGCGTCTACACGCAACAGCTGACGCCGATCGCCGTCGAGATATGCCAGCACCTGGCCGCCACCTTCAATCAAGTGTTGGACACCGACGAGGGCTCCGACGAGAAGGCGATCACAGCGATGGGGCTGCTCAACACCATCGAGACGCTGCTCACTGTTATGGACGAACAGCCCGAGGTAATTCGTATGCCGCGTGGCTCGTCTATGTTTAGTGGTCGTGACTCTGAACATGGAAAACACGCACAACACTCACACACACACACACACACCCTCTTAAGGCTGTGTCTCTCGGTCCAACAATTTGATCAAACTACAGATCTGTGATGTCATCAGTGACGTCACGTCAAACAGCAGCTGAAATTTAGAACTTGTTCTAAATATTTGTCATGTTGGATCAAACAATAAGGTTAGGATGTTTGTTTTCATATTTGCATCATTGATTATTATTTTATATCTTTCTATACAGGCTGATTTTAAAATGAGTGCATATATTCAAGACATATATATGAGAGAGTCTAACAAAAATTACTAAAATATTTGATTTTTCCTAAGTCTTCACATTAACGAGAAATTTCATTTTGAAAATTGAACATAAAATGCTTCGAAATTCGAGTACGCCACTGGGAAGCAAGTGAAATCTGCGGAATCCCAGGGAATCACCAATTCGTCATTCACTAACGTCAAAACAAGACAGTGATGCCAGATTGTTTCAGAGACGAATATCCTGAGCCTTATTTTTTGAAGTTTACTGAGAGAGCTGTGGGGTGATTATCTCCATGGATCACGAGAGACGGAGAGAAACATGAGGGGAATGATAGAACGTCCCCTTTCCTTCAATTCGAAAATAAGGCCCCAGCGGGTAGATACAAAATTAGCAGACAATAAATAGGTACACAACATACACAAAGTTGAAAATCGACTCACCTAGTAGATTTTCTCATACCTGCTCGAACAGCAAAACTCCCGAGAGCAAACAAATACTAATATCGAGTCCATTCCAGACTAATATCGTCCTGTGTTCTTGTTGGTTCATATTCGCACTTAAACCATAGAAAACGACTCGACGACGACATATCCTTCCTGGCAATCTCACATTGAAAAGCACGATCACGACCATATCACGATTATCACGACACAAGACACAACCTCCAATTATTTTATTTTTTATTTTACGTTTACAAATATTTTACAAACCAGCAACCACACAAACAAAACTATTATCATATGATTTGTCAACATCATTTCTCAGAACAGTAGTATCTGTGACCATAGATTTCCTCTTTGCTGTGACCTTTGACAGTACTAACTAGGATTGTTCGCGTTCAAAAAATAAACAATCCGAAACCGTCAGAAGCATGCACAAGTCCACATAACCCAAAAAAATCATACAGTTCTGTGAAACTGCGCATGCTTCTGACCGGACGCAAGAATTCAGATGACCATGAATTACTAATAGGCGATTTCTACGGACCAATCAGAAACAGCAAAGTAGCGCCTGCGTGGTTGCGATTCATCCTGATTGGACACAGCTGATTTTATTTGTGAGATTAGTGTATAGTGAGGAAGTATCATTTCATTGAATTAAACTAATAGATGTTTTTTCCAAATTAGTTTTTTATGAAAATGGTAGTTTCATTTAAAGATATGATCCTTCCTCACTAATACATTAATCTCAATCAGCTGTGCCCAATCAGGATGAATCGCAACCACGCAGGCGCTACTTTGCTGTTTCTGATTGGTCCGTAAAAGTGGCCTATTAGTAATTCATGGTCATCTGAATTCTTGCTGGTAGCACACCATAAGAACAATCAAAACAAAGATCCTTTCTTGACAGTTTGTTGTTCTGAGAATGTATGTTATTTTGGGAAACGTCAAAACGTGATACTAGTAAATGTAAAGTTTTGTTTCTGACAATTTGCTTGGAATGTGACGATGCATTTCTCAAACATTGAGCTGAATGATATGGTTCTTATGTCGGGTCGTTATTGTGCGGGGCCCATGAGACTCCTCGAAGGACACGAAATTGTAGCGATGCAAGGAGGTGGAAGGAAGGGTCTAAATGATTTTTCAGTAAAAGAACTTCCAACCGTGAGGTGTTAAGTTATACGCTATTCGAGCTTATGTGTAGAAATCTTGGGTGAGTCCATTTTAAAGTTTTTGTATTATCTTTCTGAAATTCAGGACCAGGGTTAACTTCTTCCCCATGTACATTTTCTCGATTATACATTTTATTTAATCTCTCCTAATTTTCATGTAGAGTGGCAACGTCGCTTCGTTCATCACGGTCGACTGCGGATCGCAAACGATAGTTGTGACAGAAGTAGAAATCTGGGCGGAAAAAGGGTATTTTGCCCCAAATCTATTTGGATCCTAATAATATTTTTAATAGTGCTATACCTCAAGCTTTCTTAGTGTTTAAAATATATGCACTTATTTTAAAATCAGCCTGTATAATGTTGATATTTTATATGATCCGTGGTTTTCCTATTTTTAGTGTTCGCGATTATATACACAAAACATGCACAACAACACCCTCACACACGAAAAACAGTGAAGTCCCAAAGTAATCCGACACAAAATATTTGATGTAAATATTGATAACTTCGTCAACACTCTAATGAACTTGTATCGATGATTTTATTCAAATACGTTAATATGTCGAATTGAAATTGATTTTACGAAAAGAATTGGTATTTCCTAACTGACAGAAATTGTTTACAACAAAGAATAAGAATACTGCATCATTGTAATGACTTTTTCAGTTTCTTCGTGTGGCATGGTATGTGAAATAATGTTTTTCCTAATTTGTTGTGACTATAGGTTATGCAGCTTTTGGAGCCGACAGTTCTGCAAGTCATAGCACATGTGCTGCAAAACGAGGTACACGAATTCTACGAGGAGGTGTTGGCTTTGATCTACGATCTCACCAGCAAGCAGATTTCGCCCGACATGTGGAAGGTGTTCGAATTGTTGTATCAAGTAAGTTATTTCGATTATTTTTTCAAATGTCAAAATGTGACGTTTTCGTTGTTTCAACCAATAAGCAATGCATCATTCCAGCCAATCTTTCGGTACTTTACTGATAAAACTGCATTGTCCTCGAAAACACCTTGTTTAAATTCAACTGTCAAAATTAATCTGACTTACCAGTGTCCACCATCTAATTCATTTCCACCCATCTCATGTGTAACAATAACATCAATTATCAATTCTCCGAGAAAACGAAACGTTGCCTTTTTAATCATCGTTTAACTTGATAAAAATAATGTTTTTTTGAATTATTATTAAACGATGTACGCATCCGCGCTTGTAGTCACCGCAAATTTATGCCACACACATCACCTTTACAACATTTGATCAATCATAATAGAAAGACGTAGAATTAATTAGACTGGTGTTTGCTAGTGTTCATCAGATTGGTGAAAAAAAGAGTCTTCCCAAATACAACTCGCCCCTCAAATTTTATCCGATATTTTTTCATTTTCATCACTCAACCTTGTTAAAGATTTTGTAGAAAATTAAAGAAACTCGATAATATTTGAATGACTCGTGGTATTACCTTCGATAACTTCCACAGCTAACTTATCGGAGAAATTGCCTAACGGCAAAATATAGTTGTTTCGAATCTTTTTTTTTTGTTTTTCTTAGGTTTTCATGAAGAATGGCATTGATCACTTCACTGACATGATGCCGGCCCTCCACAATTACATCACAATCGATACCAACGCCTTTCTATCGAACGAACAACGTCTGTTAGCTATTTTCAACATGTGCAAAGAAATACTTACCAAGGTAAGAAATTCTCAGTTTTACTACTCTTTGAGTATATTATGTGATACATTCTATAGATTCATCATAAGTTTATTTGTTCGTCTTATTGTATTCTGCAAGACCGTATAATTTTTTTCAGTAGAGAAAGTCCTAATATTGGCGCCGCAAAATTTATTGTGTAAGTTCATTCATAGGAATTCGGAAAGGCTTTATATTGGCGCCCAACGTGGGATGAAAACAACTTTCAAACTTCGTTATTACTGTCATTTTTATAGTGATTTAGAAGTAGCACGAGTTGATAACCTGACCCTAAAGTTTTGATTTGAGGTAGTACCATGAAATTTCCGAAATAATCTCATCAACTTGCAAGAAAGTTCCGTTTTGGCGCCCAAACTGAGACATCAATTTTGACTAGCACGTGATAAAATATAAAAACAGATCTTTCTTCTCGGGAGTGCGGTATACGGTTTGTCACATCCATAATATTGTTATTATATTATCATCATGTTAGGATTGCGGACCGGATCCCGAATCTCACGCCGCCAAACAGTTGGATTTCGTTATTCTGCAGTGCCAGAAAAAGATGGACCAGGTCGCTCTCACGTTGGTCAATGAGGGAAGGGGGATGATCTCTCAAATATCTCCAAAATCCTTATCGGTCTAGTTAGTCGTGTTGTGTTCTGCAAGACAGTATAGTTTCTTTCAGTGGATACAGTCCTAATATTCGCGCCCAATAAGAGCTTGAAATATCTCCCAAACTTCATTACATCAACAACTGAAATTACAGGTATCTGACGTGTAATGTCATTTTGATCGATGACACTCAAAATGTATCACAGCAACTGATTTTGTATGTTTTTTCGGCACTGGGACGAAATAGCGCAGGACAAAATAGCGCAGAACGAAATAGCGCGGACGAAATAGCGCAGGGACATAATAGCGCAGAGACAAAATAGCGCAGAGACAAAATAGCGTAGAGACAAAATAGCGCAGGGACGAAATAGCGCAGAGACAAAATAGCGCAGAGACGAAATAGCGCAGAGACAAAATAGCGCAGGGTCATAATAGCGCAGGGACAAATTTGAGCGCGAAAACGTAGTGCATCATCTATGATTACGTTAATTCGTTTGTCAGGGCATAGACTATTTCTTCAAATACTAGATGTTTCAAAAGGAGACTACCCTTACAAACGAAGTAAATTAATACTAGGTATGCCGTTGGATTGTTAAAGTAGACCTATGATTAGGTTAGTTTGTTTGCTAGGGTATAAACTCATTTTGAAACACCTTGTATTTGAAGAATGAGTCTTTACTCTAACAAACGAACAAACCTAATCATTTCGTCTCTGCGCTATTTCGGCTCTGCGCTATTATGACCCTGCGCTATTTCGTCTCTGCGCTATTTCGTCTCTGTGCTATTTCGTCCCTGCGCTATTTTGCCCTGCGTTCTTTTGTCCGCGCTATTTTGTCCTGCGCTATTTCGTCCCAGTGCCGTTTCTTCATAGGAATTCTGAACGGCCAGATATTGGCGCCGAACGTGGGATTAAAATAACTGAATAAAATACATTTTATGATTACTCTAATTCTAATAGTATTGTCGTACTAGTAGCACGAGTTGATAAGACCGGTGGAGGAGGTATTTCCATGAAATTTTTAATTGTCTCATAATATAATCTCATCAACTTGCAAGTAAGTTCCGTTTTGGCGCCCAACGTGGGGTGTGAAAATGGTCTAGCACCCAATAAAAAATAACTGATGCTTTTTTTGGGAGTGGGATTAACTGGGTCTCACATCCATAACATCGTTATGATCACGTTAGGATTGCGGAGAGGATCCCGAATCTCACGCCGCCAAACTGTTGGAGGTCGTTCTTCTGCAGTGCCGGAAAAAGATCGACCAGGCGGCTCCCATGTTGGTCGAGTTGGCAGCCACCAGGCTGCTGAGGGAGGTGAAGACCAGCGAGCTCAGAACGATGTTGCTGCAGGTGCTGATCGCCGCCCTCTACTACGACCCTCAGCTACTCTTCTCAGGTACGATCACAATCTCAGACTGAATAACATCATCAATTATTTTAATCATTCATTCCCTCAAACGAGGATCAGCTCATTCTCTAAGAAGTACTAAAATAATCATACCTATACTTTATATGTAATAAAATACTTGTTTTCAATGTTCCCTGTTATAAACATACAGAGTGACCCATTTGAAAGCGGGCCACCCTCTCAAAACTTTTGTTTATGTAGCGATTTGGACGAACTTTTTTCAAATATGGATGGGGAAAAGGTGTATCCTGGAGCTAAGCAATATCCACTTTTTCTAAAATCCAAGGCTTACTAGATCACATTCAGAGGTCGAAAAATCCAGAATCCACATCAGTGAATTTCTTTGAACAAATCTGCATATGCCTCTAGAGTCGACGTCTTCTGAAATAGATCTGTACCAAGTGTCATTAACAAATATTCAACATCATCAATTCTATGAAATTACTAAGAAGTTATTCATTGTGCATTAAGAAGCTTTTCATTTAGTAACCCATGCGATAACAAATGGCATTTAACAAAAAACATTGAAATAATATTGAATTAACACACATGAATTGATTTCAGCTTCTGGATTTTTCAACTTTTTTTCTATTTGAACCCCTTAGGGGAGTTGGGTCGAGAGATCTGGAAGAAACTGCATTATTGCGGTCATCTGTGACCTCAATAATTGCAAGAGCTTCTCAATGCATGATAAACAAATTGTCAGTAATATAGTCAGAGAATCGTTAATGTTCAATATTCTTTCGTGAAACTTGGTACAGATCTATTTCAGGGGATGCCCATTCCAGTGCCGTGTACGGTTTGAAAAAAATCGCTAATAATAATTCTGGATTTTTCAGCCCCTGAATGCGATCTAGTAGGCCTTGGTTGTGTAGTAGTTCATAGATATTTATTACTTATTATTTTATAATTATGTTCTTCCTCATTCCAGAACTTGTTCTGACTGGAAGATATGTCTGATAAATACATTGAAAAAATAAATGAACGTTTACAAGGACTCGTTTGTCTATAGAACGGCAAAGCTTTTGGAATTCTTTGCCAAAGGAAGTATTTCCGAGAACTTATAATCTCCAAAAGTTCAAAAAAATGATAATATCTACCTCTTCCCCCTATCATCCCTAGGTACGCACGATGTTCTCCGAACATTATAAGGATTCCCTTTTGTGCACCCCAAGGGATGAAAAAAATGGGAGGGGAGAACGTCTACGTCCTCACTGTATAAATTATTGAAAAAAAAACTTTTTTCTTGCAGTATTGCAAAAAATGCCCGACTTCACGAACCACTTCATCAAGCAATGGCTGCACGACGCCGACTGCTTCCTCGGCATCCACGACAGAAAACTGTGCGTTCTTGGGCTGTGCACCCTCATCACGATGCCGACACGGCCGCCCGCCCTGCTGGAGGTGGCCGGCAAGGTGGTGCCCTCCCTCATCCTCCTCTTCGACGGCCTGAAGAGGGCGTACGCGGCCAAGGCGGCAGAGGGGGCCGAGGAGGAGGAGAGCGACAGCTCGGACGGCGAGATCGAGGGCGGTGAGTCATGTAGATTTTTTTTCTCCGGATTTTGACCCTCCAGAAAAAAGTTGGGTACGCCCCTGAGGTATTTTTTTTTTCATTCTCGACATTTAATATTTTTGACCCCTTCAGAAAAAATGTGATACGCCCTATGTGTCGATTTTGAAATGCCTAAATTTTGCCTCAAAAAATTTTTAGGTCGCCTGAGGTCTAATTTTTAATTCCCTATCATTTTTACCCCTTTAGAAAATATTTTGGGTAGATAAAACACACGAAAATAAGAAAAAAAGTTACTGTGCACATGGGTCCGGAAACGCTTCTTCAGGGAGCTAGGGCCCTTCGAAGATGACCTTCAAAAACTACTTTTCGTTTTATAGCTTCGGTACTACTGCAGCTATCGCAACCAATTTTGGGACATGAAATCTAGTTCGTAGGTTCATCAATTTGAGCCTTCCGGATTTTGTCACCTTTAATCAGGGGCGTACAAACCAGGGGGGTATTTGGGTAAATTTGACCCTACTCCTCTTAGGCTTCAATTTCTTACCATTTTTATATCTGATTATGATTCTCCAATGCCTTTTACATTAAAAAGGTACTTTTGTAAAAATCGCTATCTGTCACCGTTTCCTCCGAAATTGGCTAAATCCAATCAATAATAAATTATTGGTCTTAAACCAATTATTACGTTGAAATATGAAAATGAGGTTCAGTACAGATAGTTGTCAAAAATCTGTCAATAAAATATTGTGTCGCCAGTGATCGTTTTAGAGGACGTTGGATTGGACATGGAAGCGATGTCAACTGGCCAGCCAGGTCCCCAGATTCAACTCCTATGGATTTCTTTCTTCGGGGACATATGAAAAGCCTTGTATATGAAACTCCAGTTCAGTCGGAGGAAGATTTGGTGGCTAGGATTTCTGTTGCGGCTGAAATGATCCAAACCATGCCTGATATTTTCACTGACGTCAATTTAAATATGCTACGTAGGTGTAATGAATGTATTGAACGTGGTGAAAGGCATTTTCAGCAATTGTTATTTTGAATTTATTTTGGTACGTACAGGGTCAGTCAACGACAGCGTTAGTATATTCATCTTCAAGACAAAAATTTACTCTGCCTTATCCTTGACTCACTCGTTAAACCTGTTTGTGTTATTTGTTTATTTTGTACTTTTGAAACTCCAAAACTTCATTGGTGCTCGGGAATGATTTATAGCAAATTTATTATTAGTTTTGCTTGTGTAGGTTTAATTGTTTTTTTTTGAAATATTTTGTATACGTTCCCTTTTACTTTTTATATCCCCAATTTCGAAAAGGCAATAAATTTCTCTAATCTAATTTATTTTCATTAAAGAAGAAGATTTGACTAACTAATAATGCTCACTATCTGTACTGAACCTCATTTTCATATTCCAACGTAATAATTGGTTTAAGACCAATAATTTATTATTGATTGGATTTAGCCATT